CCCCCCTCAAAAAAACCCCCAAATTTTGGGATATAATATGTATTTCAAACCAGGGGATCGGTAAGAGTAAGAGTATCCTACAATTCTACAGTCCACCAGTCTTCCAACCAACCACCCATGATCTCTCACCAACAACAACCACCATTTTCCCCTTAGAACAATACATCAAAATATTATCTACACAGCCTCCTCCAACTCACACAAACACACGTAACTCTCACACCCACACCTAACTCCCCTATCCCCGTATCAACACCTCTTCATACCATAATGTACCGACCCCTCCACCACGGGTATATCCACCACCACCTTCACAAAGGAAAAATATGTATGAAAAAAAAGCAGACGCAATCAATGCAATCCCTAATCTGACACCGAGAAACGAAACAAGGGAAGGGGGGTTCATTTAGGCCCCCTCACTCTAGAAGACAGTTTAAAAAAAGACACACACAAAAAGACCCACACATAACCTTCATAATCGTACAATACCATCTAGACACCCAAGTCGCTAAAGAAACTCTCGATTGGCTCGCTTGCTGGCAAACAAAAATAGTCTGGTGTCTTTCCATGTTTATTCAAAAGAGATATTATTCAATTCTTCGGGCAAAAACAAATCAAAGGAATCCAGGTTCTTTTTAACGAGATCAAACACGCACTCGTCCTCGCTCCGATGGATGGACAGGTAAAGGAACATCGACCGTAGGAGCTATGGAACGACCCTCGGCCTCAAGAATGTAATCGACGCCATTATCGGACGCATAAGAGGGTGGTCGAGTAGTCGTCGTGGGTTCTTCTTCTCGGAGTCCTCGTCGCAACAGCTTGTGTTTGGGCATTGGTGGTGGCTCTTCGTTGCGTTGCCAGAAGATGCGGTTTGGATCCACACGCTACGTAATGTTAGTCATAATGACCCAGATTCTACTCAGCCAGGCAAACATACCACTGATTCTCTCCATAGCCCATAAGCCGGTGGTGGCATCTGAGTTGCTTGGCTCTCAATACCTGCAGCTTCTTCGTCACGGGCGAGAGCAATCCGAATCGGAACGGGTGGATTGGCGAAACCTCCTGGTCCAATCATGGTCGGCAACCTTTGTTGCTCCTCTGGGGGTCTGATTATTTGAATACACAGGCGAATCAAGCAATGACAAAAGTATATCGTTGTTACCAGGATGATCAAAATCAAAGAAACATGAAACTCTTGCGACTGTGTTGGGTTCGATAATGCCAGGGCAAGGTAAACTGCAAGAACGAGAGTCAAAAACTACAATCCGTTAGAATGAACTGGGAGAAGTTGAACAGTGGGGGAAAATTACCGATCCAGAAAGAAAACAAGTCAACAGTCTATTTCGAATTTCCTGGTTCTTGACCTTGGGATAACACCTTCTCTCCGAGTTCTTCGACCTACGTTTCCGTCGACCTCGGCCTTCCGTGGCTAATTCGGCGAGACGTTGTTCTTCCGGTCCAACTCCCACAGCATGGCTGGAACCTGATCGGTCACGGTGTCGTTGGTCATCTCGAGACCTTGTTGCCCTGGGACTACTCTCCTGAACTCTCCTTTGGTTATGTTGACCCTGTGGAAGCGGGGGAACATCGGGAGCGGAGGTGTTGGTAGGTATTCGTCTTGTTTCTCTTCGCAGAGAATTACTCGTCCGGGTGGAATGGACTGAAGGTTGATGTTCTGCTCGTGCCGAGGCAGTTGTGTTTGAACGACTGAGATAGGGAAGCTGCAGTCTCGAGGACGAAAAATTCCCCAGACCAAGTGGCAATCGTGGAGTCTTTGGGCTAGCAGGTATATGCGCATGACTTGTAGGCAAGCCAACATTGTCCGACCGACCGGAAAACCATTGGTTGATTCCCGTACGTACGCTTTGCAATCTCGAAGTTGGGGGAGGTTCGTTCGAATCCCTTGACGGGAGACGCCTGGGAGCGTCGTTCCTTGATTGCATTTTCGGCGCTGGCGCTTCGAAATGTGTGATTCAGTATAGTGGATTTCGATCCTTTCTTCCTTGGGCCAGTCTTAAGCCCAATTTATGGTTCTCGCAGGCAGTCTTCCGAGTATTATTATGATGACCGCCAGCGCGTCCTCCCAAACTTCTCCCCTCGCGATGAGCCGCACTTGTCAACAAGACAGGCTCTTTGTGTGATGGTACTGCATATGGGTCGGACGGTGGTGTATGCAAATTAGGTTGGGGCGAGTGAAAGACTGGTCGACCAGTGAAGCAGCGCAGCAGTGAGTGTGAGTGTGAGTGTGTGACGAGATGGTGAACTGCAGGTCCAAGTGACTGAGGACGAACGAGTTACGAACGTGACGAACGACGAGGACTCCCACGAAGCAGAGGCAGCGACAGCAGGGTGGTACCGTGCAAGTACTGGTTTCCTGGTTTCCGTACTTGGTACTGGGGTCAGTGAGGGTGAGGGCGAGGGTGAGGGTGAGGGTGAGGGTGAGGGTGANGTACTGGTTTCCTGGTTTCCGTACTTGGTACTGGGGTCAGTGAGGGTGAGGGCGAGGGTGAGGGTGAGGGTGAGGGTGAGGGTGAGGGTGAGGGTGAGGGTGTTGGTCGTCGGTGCAGTCAATGCCGTGTGGGTGATAGGTGAGGGAGCGCCGTCCGACAGCAAACAGCCAGGCTCCAGGAAGAGAAGAAAAGGGAGACTCGGAGTGCTTTGAAACGTCAAATGAGGCTCGCTCGCAAGCCGACGGCGTTCTACTGGTACCAGGACTGGCGTAAGGTACTAAGGAAAGTGGGTGGAAAGAATTGGACGAGACTTGCTGGTCGAGAAAGGAGACGAGGAAGGGAAGGGTTGAGCAAGATGCATGAGCGAGAGAAGTCACCACAGGCAGGCCCAAGTCAGTCGTGACAGATCACGGATCATCAGCGACGGCTGTACGGAGTAAAAAGTCCACGACTGCCGCTTCCGAGGACACTTGGGGATCAGACGATTCAGATCAGGGCCGAGGCAGCGCTGAGATGAGAGCAAATGTCTGCCGTGGTGCGAATTGCTGGAGAATTACTCGAGTCTGTGGTTGCCGCGAGTGGTCAAGCAAAAACATCCCCATCCCAGCGTCTTGTCTTGGGAAAGTGGTGGAGTAGGAGCCACCGTGAGCCACAGGGGAGGGGCTCAGGGGGTAGGGGGTCTCAAGGGCTGCAGCGTCAAAGTCTTGCAGGTGCAGCATGGCCGCAACACCTGGACACCCACCATACTCTACCGAGTACACGCCAACACCAGTTACACCAACCCACCTCAGCAGAATCCAGATGCAGCATTGCAGGCGGGGGAGAGACCAGGGAGCCAAAATCCTCAGATTCAGAAACTGCTGGTTGGTGCACACGGCGCAACTCTAGCACCGCAGGCATCCGACAGCCACTCACAGCGCGCTGTGACGACGATCCAGAGGGTGCTTTTGAATCTTGAAGCGTTTCCAAGGCGGCCTTGGGAGACCAATCCTTCGTCAAGCGAGTTTCAGGGAAAAGGACCCGGGGGGGCGTCGTCCAATCATTCTCCATCTGTACTCTTGACCCGACAACCGACCGCCGCCAGCGAATCTCGTACGTCTTGATCAATAACATCACCAGTCATTTTTGAAGGTTATAAAGAGTAAGGTCAGCTTCATCAAACGATCCAAGATGCTTACCACGTTGGCAAGTTCGTGGACGACGAAATTGGCGGAGCCAGGGAGCGAGTGTCTAGTCGACATTTGCGAGCCAGAGCTGCACCCATTTGCATCACCATCAACACACCAGAAAACGAAACCCAGGCAAACAATGGACTGTACGTAAAGACGCTGTTTTCATCCTATTCCCATGATCCTTACGCGGGCCTTTCCTTGGGAAGCTCGACGTGTTTTCTTTCACTTGGCATCAAATTGGCTTGAGAAATTCTTCCGATACCTTCCAATTCTTCTGCTTTGACGCGTTACAAGCTTCATTTGCTTACGAAAGTTACTTCATCCACTCATTTTCACGTGGAAAGTACTACTACTGTACCCTGTCATCGCAGAAGATGGGGTAACAACCTGGAAGGTTGCACTGTCTCCCAATCCTTGAGATCCCGTAGCGTGTTGCCCCGCCTATATAAATAACCTTCTTTCAACCAACTTGCGGCTGTGAGGTGGCAATTTTTTCTTACACGTCGTCTTTCCAAAAGCTGCGTCACTATCAAAGCTTGTGGACTTCATAATGGATTTTTCTCGGTCAAGGTTATCCATGTTTTTCTGTTGTATGTTTTTTTGTTGAGATTTCGATCGTCGACCTGGACACACCGGGATTCTTTTCTACATTTGAATATCACGGGATACATTCATTGTGGTTGTTGCTTTCAAGTTTTCATTTGTGTGTAAGCATTCTATACACACTCACGCACATGTATATACACACATATATACTAGCGGAAAAAGACGAATATCAGTTACGAAGATACTTGCCACTGTCAAGTCTGCCATGATGTCCTCCGGAGTAATAAGGACCCACTTCATCATTTGGAAAGAATTCGGCTAAGGAACTGTTATCTTCTACAAGTGTTCAAACTAAAATGTTACTTTACTACCTATTCCACTCGCCAACTGATCTCCAGACTCGGAAATAACTGGTTTCTTACAACAAGAAATGTGGTCGATAACTATGGGTACAGTACATCTGACATCTACGTTCCTTGTCCTAAATTCTTTGTCTGATGAAGTGTTCATTGCCCTACAAGTTTTGGAGTACTTGGTAGTGTCTTCTTATGGGCGCACATGTACTTGGTAATGGCCGACAATCTTGTGTCAGTTAGGTATTCAAATCTCATATCGTTTATTTGCCTTCGTTCTCTCGCGTCCTTCTATTCTCACATTTCGCGACGTTGATCCCGAACTTTGTACAAGAGATCTACAGCCTAGTCTCGATACATTCATTGCCATCTACATATAAATATATATATTGTTGCTTTATTATCGGAATTGTTATGGAAATTTCAAACCTGATGATCTTTTGTTGTTCTAAGTCCTTTGAATAAATAAAACTCAACAGTTAAATATCCGAAGGTAACGATCTCAAATATCCCACTATTTTAGTGAGAATTATATTAAACTACCAAAGTAGAACAGTTGAATTACGTGACCAAATATACATGTTATACATACCTCACCTGAAGAGGAAGAGAAATGTTTGCTACATACTTATTCTATCTTAACTGTCTCCCATTCTACGAATGGGAGATTCTACTATTCCAAATTTGGTTACGACTAATACTAAAATGAGCTGCGTACTTATGTATTTCCACATCACACAACGCAACGTCCTACACATAATATGGACTCTTTCGCTAGAACTCTTGGAAATACGGATCAAGAAGATGTAACTTATCCCGAAAATAGCCGGGTTGTAATAATATGAGAGGATGCTCGCAAGGCTGGTTCTAGTGACTCACTACGGCCCAAGTTTCCATAAATACATTTTTCTTGCATCTCGTGAACGCTAATGGCTAGTTCGGAAATGTTGGAACCAACAGGCAGCTCAGGCGGCGTCAATTTGTGATCACGTGTAGTCAGCCGATTTTTAATATCTTCTGATTTCATATGCTTTGCAAGAGAGCTTGACCAGAAATCAGTGGAGCAAGCATGGAAGCTGGAAAGAAGTTGACTGTACAGATCCAGTCCACCACCGCCTCCCCGAAGATCGGTTAACCGTGTCTCTGGCCGCATTTCTGATGACCGGAATTTTGAGTTTCTCCTGAAGTTGAAATGCGGTCACACCCCTTTCATTCGGCTATCCGCTTTTAAGGGTTCCTGTCAACAAGTCCGGACATTCAACCAGCCGCATCTCCACGCTCACATACGGTCGCAATGCTGGGTGGACTGCAAAGGCCGCGAAATTCCAATGCTCTCGGTGCGAAGAGCATCCAATTCCATGGCGTGGCGAGGTCGTAAAAGTGTTGACAGCGCTGCGATGGGTTGACCGAGCACGGCCGCCCTAAGCACAAACAGAGCCTAGCGTACTGTTGGGTGCAGCGTAGATGTGGTCACGGCCTCTCACTCCTCTCCTTTCAAAAGATATCTCCCCTCCCGCCTTGCTCCTTCTCAGAGAGCTGTTGCTGAATCTGTTGTTGTCCTGTTGTGCAGCTGGGCCTCGCTCTCTCCCTCTGCCTCTTCTCGCACTCATCGCATCTGCGTGGTTGATAGTCTCTCCGCCGCTCCAGCTCCAGTGCATCGCATCATATCCATATCCCCGATCCCCTCTGCCTCATACCCGACTTGAGGCTGCCCGCACGTGGCGTTGCTGCCCCTGAGTGATCACGCATTTTCTGGTCTAGCAGCCCAGCACCAGCACCAGCACCCGCACCCGCTCCAGCATCGGCTCCCAGCCTTGCCCCAGTGCTGAAAAGTACCCGCCCGAGGTCATCTCTCAGCACGCGGTCCCAGATCTTCCACTTCCCCCAATCCCCAAGCGATCGATTCACGACCACGACCTCATCATCCTCACCTCTACCGCCCACCGCCCACCACCCGCCGCCCACTGCGGAAAAAAAAACCCCAGACGATCGCCGGCCGAACGAATCTCTGCCGCCATACGTCCTCCTCCCTCGCATTTTGGTGTCGTCGAGATCCTTCCTCCCGGTTCCAACTGCTCGACGCCCTTTTCGTGGCTTTCGCTTGCCGCACTCACGCGCCTGTGTCCTATCGCATTCACTTTTTCCGCCTGCATCGTAGAAAAGGCCCTCCGAGGACGTTACACGGCTGTCTGCCCTCTTCAACCTACCCTTGGCCGCCCTGGCGCACGCATTTCTTCAATCTACACGACATCTTCGACGTGGCTCATCGTCGTTCTCTCTCTAGAGAGCGGTACCGCTCCGGACGAGCTTCTATTGCGACACTTGGCTCGGACCCGCTTCCGCGTCAGAGGTGTGGTAGTTGACAACTTTCGCCATTTTCAACACCACACGAGCTCCGTGATTAGAAATCGGCCAGCACGATGAATAGCGTCAATATGACGGGGATGAATCCCATGTCCGGCGGTCCAGTTGGTGGAGGTATGCCGACCATGATGAACCATGGGGCAGCTGGACGTGCACCGATGCCGGTAAACGACAACCAACGGTCGCAACTCAACACTTACATCTACGACTATTTCCTACGGAATGAAATGTATGATTGTGCGAGGTCGCTACTCCGAAGCGACCAGCCAATGAATGTTCTTAAGACCAATGAGGGAAAGATGAATGGAGATGATGGCGCCAATGGCGACTCAAAGGATGATATTGACTCAAAGCAACCGGACGATCTACCACCGCCCAATCTTCCCAAGGAATGTCCAGAAAGCTGTTTTCTATACGAGTGGTGGTGCCTGTTTTGGGATATGTTCAATGCGCAACGCGGCAAAGCAGATGGGCGTGCCGTGATGAATTACGTTGCTCATACCCAGGTTTGTACCATCTGCCAATTGAAATTGCTTGGCTTACTCTACAAATAGGCACAATCGCGGCAAAGACAAGAGCAGCAAGTTGCTATGTTGCGAGGCTTGAGACCTGAGGGCATGATGCAGAATGGTGGCGCTTACCAACAAATGATGATGCGAAACCAGGCAAATGGAATGAACATGCATCAACAAAATGAACTGAGGCAGAAGGCTATTCAAAACAGACAGAATGCGTATAGACCAATATCTCTCACATCGATCAAATCACATTCTAATTTATATCGCAGGACTCCGCAACAAGCGCAAATGCTCGCGCAGCCGAAGCAAAACCAAATGCAGAGAGACCCTTCGGATGGAAATAACCAACAGCGTGCCCAATCTCCAGCATCCGCAGAAAACGCCCCTTCTCCGTCTAAACGCCCTAGACTAGACGGAAATACTCCATTTAACCCAAGCCAGATGCAAAATGGAAGAGGACAACAGGCACCAGGAATGCCTCAACAGGTAAGCCCCATTAATATTAACAGGTTGGTATAGACCTATCTAATCTGATGATTCCGCAGTTTCAGGTTCCTGGCGGTCCCAATGCTCAAGCTACGCGTGCATACCAAGCAGGATTAGCGCAGCAACAAGCAGGCCAAATGCCTATTAACAAAATGCCAAACCAAGGCCCGCAGAGTCAAGGTTCGCCAATGATGCCACAAGGTGCCGATGGATCGAATGTTGCCAACTTTTATAATCCTGGAACTGACATGGGCGGCATGGGACGGGGAGGTCCTAATGGAGGCCAAGGAGGTAACGCTGCTGGCAATCACGCATTGCAAGATTATCAGATGCAGTTGATGTTGCTTGAGCAGCAAAATAAGAAACGGCTTATGATGGCCCGTCAGGAACAAGACAACATGACGATGCCACGAGCTGATGGTGCTCCTGCCATGGGAGCAAATGGCCAACCCTTCCAGGGAACATCTCCACAAGGGGCTCGAAATTCTCCGAACCCAAGCGAGCAGATGAAGCGAACGCCACATATGGGTCAAAGCAATATCCCCTCCCCACTTCCCGATGGACAAACTCGGTCGCCCAGTGGAATGAACTTCAACAATATGGGTCAAGGTAACCCTATGGATCCGAACATGGCGCAGAAAGGCTTTTACCCTGGGATGAACGGTATGGACCAGAACATGGTTGCGGCTGGTATGCAAAATGGTATGCGTCCGCCTAGTTCCCACCCAGGAGGATCCTTCAACAACCCGATGGCCCAACAACAAATGCAAATGCAGCAACAACGTCAACAGGCTGCTCAACAACAGGCACAACAACAAGGTGGTCAGAACTGGAACGGACCTGGAGGACCTATGGCCGCCCAACCAAACCAAGGTGGTCCACAGCAAATGGGAACCCCTCGACAAAACACAATGCCTCCTCCTTCAGCACTTGCAACCGGCGCTGCAGTTAACGGACGAACCCAACCTCCATCCCCACAACAAGGCACAGCGGCGCCTCCTACTCCTCAACAAGGCAACAAGGCCAACCCGAAGAAGAAGACGGAAACGAAGGATGCTAAAGCAAAGGTACTTTCCATAGCGTTTAAATGGATTTTTTGTAGAAATGTTGACATTGATGACAGCGCGCTGCTAAGAAGGTATCCGCCCCAAATCTCAACGCCGGTGCAACTCCATCCACCGATGCTCCTACCGACGGTCCAACTCCAACGCCTCAAACCCCGATTACCCCTCACACGAAAAGCTTCGCTCCACAGAATGGCGCCGCCCAACCCGTCGCAAACGGCCAACCACCTGCTCCTCCTGCGAACGCCAATGTGGCTGCTTCACAGCAACCGGATGCTATCGCGGGCTTTACCGGTTTGGATAATCCTGTAAGTCAAATCCCATTCCATGCTTTAGAGTAAAGTGCTAATTCGGTCCAGTATGAATACAATATGGGATTTGCTGATCCACAACTCGGCAATTCGGATGTCCTCCAGGATTTCGACTTTGATTCATTCCTTCATCAAGACGGTGATGTCGACAACTTCAACTTCGACACAGGTTTTTCCATGGAAGATGGTGGTCAAATTGGTGCAGAGTAACTTTGAAAGGCCCAAGGAGTGGCAAATACTAACTTTCCGGCGTTTTCGAGCATACCTCATGGCGTTACAGCGGATCTCATCACCCACAAATATTCCGGCTTCATTTTTTTCATCGTGCAAAAGAGCCTGGTTTTTTCAACCGATTAGAGAGAGCAATTTTCCAGTGTCTCCAAAAATTCATTTTATATCACATACACCTTTTGCAGGTTTGCGCGAGTTGGATACGGGCTACAAGGGGGGTGGGGATCCAAGTCTCTTTCTAGTGTTTTATGTTTATGCTTGATTGTTGCGACGGTCGTACCTAATTACATGCTTTTACTTTTTCTTTTCTCTTTTGCCGCTGTTCTTCCCCGCACAGTGTTTTGGGGCCTCGAAGGCCACAAGGGAAAATGGAGTCGGGGTTTTCAATCTCTACAAATCCTTTTTTGTCTGTCTATTACCTTTTTCTTGCTTGGAGGAGGGAGGAGGGAGGAAGAAAGGAAGGGCAGGGTTGTGTGAGGAAGGGGAACCGGTGGGAGCCCTGTGTACTTATCATATAAGGTTTTTTGGGCGGTGTTTATCGCCTTGAAGAAAGATTATTATTTTTGCAAATGGAGAACGATTTTCATGTTCACTTTTACAAGATTTGATTTATTCAGGAGTGAGAAGTTAAGTGGAATGTCCTAACCATTTACTGTATTGGAAGTGTTTGGACCAATGTAATAGTGGAAAGTCCGTCATCTTATGTCAAGGTATATCAAGAGTGGGCACATCCGAGGGGGAAGGACTGTTCCACGCCTTTGACTCTCACGTCTAGTGCTTACATCTCAGCCGGCTAAATCATTGATTTCTGTATTTTCTTCCTTCCCCCTGCCTCTCAGTGGGAGAAAATAGATGCCGATATGAGGCACAGGACAGGCTACCCCACTTCACCCAACACCATGTCTACATGATGGACTTTTCATCACAACACATACGAATTCAATAGTAGAATAATGTCTTATAATACGTCCATTCGTCTATCATGGTCCCTTCAATTTTATTTTTTTCTATTTGGAGAGGTTTTATATACCATTTTGAATGCTTGATGCTGGTGTGAGGTGGGGTGACACTACTGTGCCTCAAATCGGCGTCTCTTTTTTCTCCCTCCTGAGACACCCCCCCACCTTTTCCTCTTGACAATTCACCAACCGACCGTCAGCTGAATTTGAAAGACATCGATTCATTCACTTGCTCTAGGGTCCCACACACCAATTAGGAATTCTTTTCTTCACCACCTACCCCACTCTTGATCGCTGAGGGGAAGCTAAGCTAAGCTGTGGGATTGTACGAGTAGGAGGGGATGGATGGTCGTTGATTGTTGCATCTACTAAAACCTGACCTGAGTCTGACTTGTCTCGCTTGGAGGGAGATCTTTTGCCTTTTTTGCCTTTTTTGGTAGGAATATACAATTACAAATACCTTTTCTTGATACCAAAACATACCATACATACCGACGAACGTTTCTTCGGATCGTTACTTTGACGTCATTTTCATAATATCACCCGCGAAACTACGATAATCCATTCCTGGCCCGCGGAAACTCTTCTTTACGTTACCGTACTGTATCAAAGGAGAGATAAAAGAATCATGGGGAGTGTCGCCGTCGCGGAGGTGGATCTTGGGAAGCCGTGGCAGGATGAGGGTGTCACGGTTGTGGAAGTGAGGACCTCGAGGATGAAGGATATGAGGGGGATGGCGAGTGTGAAGACGGGGATTTATAAGGAGAAGAGGGGGGAGAGGGTGTGGTGTGGTGTGGAGGGGTTGGAGGGTGATGAGCATGATTTGACTTGTGAGTTTGAGGATTTTTGTTTTTTTTGAGTCTTTTTTTGTTTTGGGTTTGAGATGGATTTTTGGGGGGGGNGGGGGGGGGAGGAGGATGAGGTATTGTGGGTTGTGAATTCTTGTCTTTTGAGGTGTTTAGGGGGAGGAAAAGTTCTTTGGAATTGGTTTTTGGAAGTGAGGTCTTTTTTTATGGGGTTTCCTTTTTTGTTGGTCCCTGTGTATGTTAGGGAGTGAGGATTTCGAGGTAGAAGGTGGAGACTTAGATGGTGTTTCTTTTCTACTCACTCATCCCCATGCCCTCCCCATATCTCATTCCCGGCAATAATTGTATACTGACAACCCCTATAGTCCACGGCGGCCCCGACAAAGCCCTCCACCAATACTACCCAGGCCACTACCCCCTCTGGCGCGCCGAGTTCCCCCACAATAATGGCTCCTTCCAGCCCGGTGGCTTCGGTGAAAACCTCATCACGTCGGGGACCATGAACGAGCGGAATGTCTGTATCGGAGATATCATATTGATCGGTTCTTCTGTCCTCCTGCAAGTCTCTCTACCCAGACAGCCTTGTTTTAAACTCAACTCCCGATTTGGACCGAAGAACTTTGCGCCAAATACGTGGAGACTTAGTCGCACGGGGTGGTATTATAGAGTCTTGAAGCAGGGGTGGGTGCAGGTGGGTGATGAGGTGAGGCTTGTGGACAGGAAGTGGGGGAGCTGGACTATTGAGAGGGTGCAGGAGTATTTGCATAGGGATACGGAGTGCGTTGAGATGCTCGAGGAGTTGCTGGGGATCGAGGAGTTTGGGGGGGAGTGTAAGAAAGCTTTTCGACGGTTGCTGAATAGGGCTAGGGAGAAGGATATCCCGAAAAAGAAGGAAATCTTCAAACCCTGGGTTTTGAAGGAGAAGAGTAAGGAAACTGCGAGGGTTTCTAGATTCGTGTTGGAGAGAGTTGGGAAGGAGGAGGGGGAGGAGGTTCAGCCTGGTAGTTTTGTTAGGTTGAGACTGCCGGGTGGGATGTTAAGGCCTTATTCTATCGTTAGCGGGACGCAGAATCAAGTCGTCCTGGGTATTGCACGAGAGGAGAATAGTCGTGGTGGCTCGGTCTATCTCCATGATTCTCTCACCGTTGGCGAAGAGGTCATGGTTGGAAATCTCACTGCCTCGGTCCCCTTCCCGGAGCAGTGCTCGAAACATGTTTTCCTCGCTGGAGGCATTGGGATCACGGCTTTCCTTCCGCATGCGAAGAAGATGCGGAGGATTCATTTGGAGTTTAGCATCCATTTCGCGGTGAGGAGTTGGCAGGAATTGCCGTTTAAAAAGGAGATCCGGGAACTTGGGGATAGAGTCAGGGTTTATGATGCGAGTAAAGGTGAGAGAATGGATATCGAGAATGTTATTAAGGAAAGGGGGTGGAATTCCTTTTTGTATGTCTGTGGACCGGAAAGGATGATTGAGGGTGTCCGGACAGCAGCGGGGAAGCTGGGCGTTGGGGATGAGGATATCCATTATGAGGCTTTTGCTATGGATGTTGGAGGGGACCCCTTTACGGTCTCTGTCAAGGGCGATGAGAAGAAGAGGGTTGTTCGTGTTGGGCAGGAAGAGAGTCTGCATGAGGCGCTGAAGAGGGAGGGCTGGGCGGTGGATAGTAGTTGTGAGGTTGGGAACTGTGGGACTTGTCAGGTGAGGGTTTGTGAGGGGAGGGTGGAGCATAGGGGGAGTGCGTTGAGTGAGATGGAGAGGAAGGAGGGGGTGATGTTGAGCTGTGTTAGTAGGGGTGTTGGGGGTGCTCATTTGGTGGTGGAGGTTTGAGGTGGCTTGATGATCGGTTTACGGACGGGCATTAGGTATATATACACAATGAAATCGGAATTACACAAATTCGTTGGTTGGAGATGCTTGGACGTTGTTGTTGTTCGTGGTGCTTACCGAGACATCGAAGTAGAAGTGACTCGGTGCGCCCTACTGACACCCAAATGTCACGATATGAATACAGAAACAAAGGCAACAATCAGTCCCTAGGTCATCTGCCAGGAACAAAAAGCCCTCCTTATATTTAATTATATTCGACCTCCCTCCTGTTGCATTCATTGCGTCGTGAGACACACTACTTCGTTTTTGATGCTGTTAAACACCTAAGCTACTGAGAGCAGATCTTTTGAGATAAAACTTTATGCTCTACATATCTTCATTTCTGATAGGCTTCATCCATATCCTTAGAAATATTACGCCAACCTATTTTTCAACAAAACAAAAGAAAAGAAAAGAAAAGACTGAACAATCAAAACATGAAAGCTTTATTCCGTTAATGTGCGATTAGGGTAGTATAAAGATCGTTACTCGAAGTGTCAGAATAAAATGAAAAGGCGAGGTAACATTTTGGACATGGAAAATATAAGTAGGTAAATTTCTTTCTTTGGCTTGGAAGTATATAACATACTGCGCGATACATTCTCGCTAACAGCTTTATCTGACGAGCTACTCTTACTTCAAATGTCTAAGGGTCACCCGAATCTATTCTATAGAGCTCTGGACTTGCTTCGAAATTTACTCTTCTTCTTTCGCTGTCGTGAGAGAAGGAATTTATGTCGCTCTTTAATATAAATTTTTGGACGTGAGGAGGATGTTGAATGGTGTGTTTATTGCTATACATCTGTTTGTAGTTATACATACAAACCTTAATATAAAGACAATTGTCGCGATATATGCTTTCTGGTACTTATCTATGAGAGAAGGTCACGTGGAACTGTCTAAGACCCGATACCTAGTCTAGAACACTACACTATATATTATTAGCTAGCACAACCCATACTCTCTTAGAAGAATATAGGAATATACTGTAATACTATATTCAGTTTCCGAGCCTAAGAAGCCAAACTAATAACAATAGTAACGATAGGATCTATAAGGATATATATATAAGGTTATTCTTAAAAGGCCTACCTATCTGGTTCCATGCATGCTTAGAAATCTAAGGAATTATTGGGTTGAAAGGGTATTGGGTACTGAAGGTCATGGAGAATTGATTGCATTGTAAAAGGTAGCTATCTAAGGTGTTTATATAAAGAGTGTAAGGTTTAGGCAGACATGAAGCATTTAGGCAGCAGAACTATAAGTGGATCAAATAAGGAAGTGGAGCAAAAGAGAAAGTAGACCCAGCACAACAGGAATTTACTAAGAATCATTTATATAACTACTAAATAAGTAGTTTTAAGCATATAAACAACTATATCTTTAATACAGAAAGAAAGATTCGGACCCAAAAAACCTAAGGATATCCTTTTAATCAAGGTTATCCAATATTGTCATTCCAGCTAAGAAGAAGTAGGAACAAAACTTGAGGATATATCCGAGGTTATCCTTATATCGAGTAACCTTGTAGCGAGGTCAATTTGTATAGTACTATATGTTTTGGTAGCGCCGGAAAGTTCAAATCCCGTCATAGGGCCTTTAGAAAGACCACAGCACCTGCTGAGGCGAAATCTGTGAACAGTAGACAACATCACTTCAGGGTATAACTAGCTGGTCTCTGTTAAATGCGTCGATGTCAGTCTCTACCCGGACGGGAAGGGGGTCCTTTTTAAAATTCCCGATAACACGTAAGTAAGAATAAAGTCGACACCCTCTACTTTACAAAGATCTGAATACATACTGCTTTGTATCGAGGATTTAGGTTAAGGTATTGTTTCCTACTTTAAAATTTTCTCTTGCTACACCGGACTCCCAGGCTGCGAAAGGAACCCCGGGTATCGGATTACCAGGAAAGGTTCTTGTAGATAGGCTACATCGTCTAATACTTTATTTATATATTTTAGACCGGCCCGCAGAATTCTGTATTTGTACATTGCCATTTCTTGAATGGGTTGCCGGCATTCCATAACGGGACACCGGATCACGATGTATCACCAGATTTTGAAAACCCAAAATTTCGCCTCCAAAGATTATTGCAGTCTCTTTGTCGCAGTCCTGCAATTTCACCAACCCCAATTTTTGCTTGCAACACATCCAATATGCATTTTCTCAACGTCATTGCAGCATTCGCTACCTTTTCATCAGCCCAATACTTACTTGGATATATGACTGAGTATCCTGATTGTGATAGAACAACCATGCTATGGGATGCTGGTCCTGATTCTAATGGCACGGCTGGATGGAGTGTGAGTTTTCTCCAAGAGCATATCTGCAAATTTGTTTCTCGGTTGTACCGGTTCTGAATAGTAACTCATGTGGGATTTCCATAGTGCAATCTCGTGTATGGGGACACAGGTGAATGCTTTCTATTTGAATGGACGGATCTGTTTCCCCGGTGGATTGTAAGTATTTCAAATGATGGAGATGTGGATTTGGAAATTATACTGATTCTGTTTTTGGTGTCTGGATACAAATTGAGATGTGTGACTGGGTTGTTTTCGATAGCACGGAGCATATGAGGGAGTAAATAAGGAATCAAAGAAGGAATAAATTCGTCTTCACTTCGCTCTGTGCTCATACTTGTAAAAAGAAGAACTGTGTCTTTTGCTGTCTAAGGAAGTATTCCCGTGGAATTCTATTGGTCTTCGTATAATTTGAATCAACAAATCAATAACCACGCAAACCAACAACCAACACGTCAGCCGAGGGTCGGGGGCGCGACGTCTCGCAAGGGAGGGTTTAAAAAGAAGCCTTAACGCTCGCGCTGTAACGGCCGTTAATCAAGCGTGTCGGCTGAAATCTCAAGACGCTCTCTAATTTTCTGAATCATTAACAACTTTCATAATTTTCAAATCGGGGTGGCAACTCCAATGTACAGCGATACTCCACTCGCAACCATCAGCACACCAACATTTAGAACCGGCAAAGTAATTCATCTATCAGTTTCCTTTGAGTGCTTGTTATCCTGACAATTTTGTTAAGACAGATCCTATTACTCTCGAAGCATCTTATATGGCTCTAAGTCACAACTCTTTCATCTGAGGATTCAACAGTATCTATCAACAAGCTCCTCGCATCCAGGCCGCTGACAAGCAGGATTTTGTTGGATACTGCATTGCCTGGCATGATTGTCTCTGGCAGCATCACCACTATGAAGAGACCGAGTCCTTTCCTTCTCTTGACAAGGCAGCGGGGAGAAAGGGCTTGATGGCCGGCGCTGTAGATCAGCACGGTACGTTAATAATCTCTCAAAAATGACAATCTCTAGCTCAAGCTGATGCATCGCAGCTACTTTCCACGACGGCCCAGAAAATTTCAAATCATACCTCACAACAAAAGAGTCTCGCTTCTCGCACGTGGAACTTCTCGCAATCATGGACTCATTCTCAGAGGCCCTCCACACCCACCTAAAAGAAGAACCGCAAACCATCGCCGACCTTGCGCATTACAATTCCCCTGAAACCCCCATAGATATCATGGCGCTAGCTGCTCAAGCTGGCAAGAAACAGGTTGACATGGCTTTTCTGTTCAATATCCTCCCGGTATTCTTCTTGAATATGGAAAGTGTTCAGTTTGAGGATGGGCTGTGGCATGGTTCGTTTCCGCCGGTTAGTAAGCCCGTCAAGTGGATCATGACTAAGGGAGCTCCTATGTGGCAGCATCGTCGCTGGAGGTTTGCTAGTTGTACTCCTGATGGCGAGTTTAAGAGATTGGCTGTGTAGTATTCATTTCGTGTCTTGGAATAATGACTTTTGTTTTCAGTAGGATGGATAAGATCATGGCTTCCGCGGGTTTGTAGTTAGACCATTGCTATAGTTTGGTTGAATAATAATTTGTGTTTGTAAAGCGAATTTAGCCTGGGCTACAGTCTTGCCTATCTCTATAGACAGTTCCGTGTAAAGGTAGAATGCTTGGGTGTTTGCAGCTTGCTTTAATCTAATGATTACCAGATGAAATATGATAGGGGAACAAGAGCCATGTAGTAGCTCTTACTGTATTGAACCGAGTTATTCATCTACCAACGCAGCCTCATACAACCCGAAGAATACCTAGCCCAAGTAACTACAGAAGAGATCTCCGATTATCTCCCCTCTAACCCCCATCCACCCCAAAATCGGAATCAAATCCCATTACAATTCCTTCTTTGCTTTAACGAAAAATGACCGGGTATCACTCAAAATCAAACTCTATCAATTCTCAAATTCGCCTTCACTCTCTCAAGAAGTTGTTCCTTCGTCGCATTATCTTCGGGATGTAGGTTTCTCTAAGTGTTCATATTGGTAGGAACTGGGGACTCGTGAGAATTTGAGCAAGAAGACTCACAATTGAATAACATCAAATTGCAATGAAGAGGGAGGAAAACGAGAGATGTAACGTACGGATGCAAGCCAACTTCGCAACTCATCAAGACTCCATTTTTCTGGATCTAAGAAAAATTCGAGGTGTTAGTTTTCAGTTAGTGAGATGGGAGAGGGGGAAAAGAGAAGAGAGAAATGAAGGGCAACGTACTACCAGTCGGATCAGCTTGTTGGGGGAAGATATCTTGTCCCCAGATCGTGAAGACGGCGCTGGCTGTTATGATCCCCGCGAATGCTTTGATATGGGTGTTAGATTGGAGATGTTTTTTGAAGAAGGAGGCGGTTTTGGCTTACCAAGGATTACATTCTGTGAGCTTTGTTAGTACTTACTTATTTGATGTAGATGAGTATGGGATTTACATACCTTGGCTTGGGACTGGATTACTCGGTCAAGAGGAGTGCCTGGCATCTTGATGTCGGGTTGAGAGGGGCGAATATTAATCGCGTTCGTGAGACTATGAATATCCTCAAAAAGCCAGCTTCGTCGACAGAATGTTCGGTATGAGTGCTCAATATCTCTTACTATGGAAGTCAAGAAAAGTCAAGAAACAGCAGTTCAATAACTTCTGATAGATAAATCCAAGTTGACAATGAACACCCACCAGTGGGTGACAGAATTCGTGGGACAGCACAACTTCTAAATTACGTAATCAAGAACACCAAAAATGCTTAGATATCATACCTTAATAAAACATACTCTTTAAACCGTCCAAATGGACACTAACACGCCTACTCACAGTAGAGAGGACACGCCAGATCGTCAAATACACCACCGCGAAGCTACTACTACCAAAAAGACCCGGTTTTACGAGGCCTGGGACGCCCGGCACGGCGCAGAAACACATAAGGCTATTGGGGCAGATTTGGGAGTAACCAGGTCTACGGCATCACGATGGCTCAAAGAGCGTACTCAAATAGGGTCTGCAGCATACCGGCGGACGCGGAAGAGGTCAAATATACTTGGGAGGCGTCGTCTTATCTCAAAAGAGAGTTGTTTACTCCTTGTCAACCCAGCCAAAAACCCCGTCCAAAACCAGCACTACGAAGCTCAAATGAAATACCACAAGATCAAGGGTTCCGCCCGCACTCTACAGCGCGCTTTGCTCAGGCATACAAACAAGGCCCGTCGCTATAAGGCTGCGTACGTAAAGAAGAAAACCTCGAATACAAACCGGCAGAAACGGACAGAATACGGGAGGAAGTGGCAGTACAAGACAGTTGAGAACCATTGGCGTAGGGTTCTCTGGACAGACGAGGCACATATTGATCCTACCTCTAACGTTCAAGACTTCTACCTCCGTGAGCAAGGGAAGCGTTATAAGCCCGAATATATACAGGAAAGGGGGGAGAAACGGGGCGTACGGCTACACATCGCAGGGTGGTGTAATTGGCATGCCAAATGCGAGAAACTCCAGTTCTACCACGACGAAGAGGATGAAGTTATTAAAGCTAGGAAGCCTAGGAAGCCTCGCAAAACCAAGTACTGTACAGACGAGGAATATGCAGAGTTAATACTAAAGTGGGAGGCTGAATGCGAGGCACACGATAAAGAGGTTAAGCCAAAAGGGAACTCCATGACCGGCCTCTATTACGTAGAACGCCTTCTTCCTTTTTATATTGACGCAATTCAACACCTAAGGATTACAGAGGAATGTATAAACAGTAGTTGGCTTCTTCAGGAAGATGGGGACAAGTCTCATGGTATACAGAACCCAGATAGCCTTGCATCAGTACTCAAAAGGGCTAATTGGATCACGAACCTTGTCCACCCTCCCCAGTCCCCAGATCTCAACCCTATAGAGGCTCTTTGGAATATCCTTAAGCAAAGAATACGTCGGAGAGTATGGAATACAATTGCGGAGCTTAAGGAGGTGGTTCAGGACGAATGGAGTAAGATTACAATGGAGGAAGTTCGTGCCCGTATAGCGGATATGCCTCGGCGATGTAAATTACTAGTTAAAACGAGTGGGATGCCTATAAAGACTGCGAAGTGGTAATAAAAGTTTGAATAGTAGTAATTTTTAGTGTTCTTGATTACGTAATTTAGAAGTTGTGCTGTCCCACGAATTCTGTCACCCACTGGTGACCTTTTCCCTTCACAAGAGAGCCAGTCGTCCTTCGCCACATCCTGTGGCGCAGTGCTACCACACTCGACACACGTGGCAGCCTTATCGTCTTATCGTTATCCCTGCAGCCGAGCCGAGCTCGGCTGACGCTGACTAATCACCCACAAATCGCGCCTCTATTGAAGTTCTCAACACCAGCAGTCGGGCAATTTTCGAAAGTTATACGTTCGATTTCTCCCCAAAGCAGACTTTCGACACTACCGCCAAAATGCCTCGTGAGATCTCCGATATCAAGCAAGTAAGTGCCTATTATACGAATGCTCTAATGAATTGTTGGTTGGGCAGGGAATTTCGAAGGAATTGGGCTAATTGTTTTTTGGTTGTAGTTCATTGAGGTTTGCAGACGAAAGGATGCCTCTTGTACGTGTTCCCCCCATTCCACCGGTGCCCAAGTCGATGAGATGCGCGGTATCTCGATCCTGTTATGATGGGTGTGGAATTGTGGATGCGATTGAGCTCCAACAACGCTGTTGGAGTGATGGATGGGAACGAGGATGAAGATGAAGATGAAGAATATACGAGCTACAACTAACTCGGGGCCACGCAGCTGCACGCATAAAGAGAAACAAGAAGAGCTCAATCGTCAAGTTCAAGGTCCGATGCCAGCGACACCTCTACACTCTCGTCCTCAAGGATTCCGAGAAGGTTGAGAAGCTAAAGCAATCCCTCCCACCAAGTACGTGCTGTTCCATTCCACCTCATTGTCAATCACCTCGATCACACTCCCCCTACACCCCCACCTCTATCTCTCTCCTTCTTGCCATCCTAACTTGTCTCTCCAGATCTCTCAATCGGCGATACCCCAAAGAAGAATGCCAAGGGCAAGCGAGTTGCACAATAAATTCCCCCAACGCGATGAAAAAAACCAACGAAATCTGTTCCAAGGCCGGATATGAGGGAAATGGGATTTGTTTGTCGATGCATGAAGGATGGGAACAAACAGACATGAGCATGGTTTGCAATATCAAACACAAGGCGTCCTGGCATCAATTCCCTGGTGATTGTATTCTTGTCTGAGCTGCGACGAGATGGCGAAGTCAGAATAATACAAGCCCTCAAATCCATGATATGCTTTCTTTTGGTGAAATGTTTTAGAGGCTTTTTCGATTTGTGGAGCGTTTGGGGGCAGATGGGCGTATTGTGAGATCTGGATATAGTAGAGCAGAGAGAGTGGGAGTCTGTTCATTCCGCTCTGTTCTTGGGCAGCAAAAAGTGATGGTTTTGGCAGTTCTAACCTCCTCACACTTGCCATAAATACGTGTCGCTCTGCCACCCAAATAGTTAGGCGAAGCGATACGTATTAATGACAAACGTGAGTAAATCCCTCCCTATCTCTTTAGATCTAACATAGACTCCTAAACTGGTCTTTCAACACGTCCCTCTCCTTCTTTCGTTCCCCCCCTCCTACTTTCCTGACTAATGTTGAACTACAATCATATAACCAATATTGTCTAACCCCCACCCATTCCCTAGCCCCCAACCAGCCTTAACTCCCGTCCCAGCTGTTTTTCTCGTCCAAACGTCCTTTTTATCGTTATCTTAAATCCGGTGGGTACTTGCTCGATTACTCTAGTTGATCTAATTGACTAAAGTAATTGACATAGATCCCTAGTATTAAGGAATTACTCTGGTAGCGATTATCTGAATGAGTTTGGGTTGGTTACTTATTGGAAAAGGGTAGGATAGGGTGGGGTAAGGGCCCAGGTTAGGAAGGAGGAATTGAGTGAATGGTGGGGAGTATTGTTTTATGAGTTACTGGCTTGCTTTTTTTGTCTTGGGATTGGGGAAGGGTTTTGGGGAAGGGAGAGAGGATATATGGGTTTGTAAGGATTACTCTTGTCTTTCTTGAACTTATTTACAACTGCTTCTGAGAATCTTGGAAACTTAGCTTATATCAAGATTTGAGAGAGCCAGGGTAATGCGACTTGATTAGTGCAAAGATTTCTGCTTCTTGTCCGAAGACTGGCTTGAGTAAATTCAACGAGAGGAAGGTGACAGAGAAAGGTTCATGTAAAATAAATAAATGCAACTTGATTTTTATCCCCCTGAAGCTAGCTAATGGTCATGTAATGACAATCCCCTGCTTCATTCATGATATCAACTCCACTCCTTCCAGCACTTCCAGGAAGATTGGATTGGTAGGTTAGTAACCACCTCCCCGGTACAACTAAAGGATAACGCCTCCCTCGTAATGTCATAAACCCAAACGTTAACCCCAGTTATGATCTCGCAAACCCTTGAGAAGAAAAAAGAAAAAAAAAGGACTCAAAGATTGAATTGTCACCCACACCGTTGCTCAAGAAGTGAGGTATTCAGAACAACCCGTTGATGAGCCACCCTGAACATATCTCCATGAACAGATGTCAAATTTTGAAGGTTGCCCTCCAATGCTCTCGACTCGTTGAATTAGTGCCTTACACACTCATGTCACCAAATTTCTCCATGTTCTCCTGTGTGAAAATATCGAATTAGCTTCATCCCACCCACACATCCTCACTCACTCAGCAAAGAAAAAATGGAAGGAAAAAATACTAACCTTCTTGACCTCATTCTCCCCCTCAATCCTAGCAGCCTCCTCCTCGATTCCTTTAATCTCCTCTAGCAAGGCCTCCTTCTTATCCAGGTCCTCACGTACTTTCTTGGCTTTCTCGAGTCGTGCCAGCGCTGCTCGCTTAGCCTGATTGAGATCAGTCTCGGCTTTGTTTGCCGCAGTGGATGTAGAAGTAGAAGTAGCAACCTTCTTAGCAGCTCGTCCATCAATACCGTTGATACCCTCGCCATTGGCTTTACGCTTCTTGTTCTTGCTCGTGCTCGTGTTCGTAGCTGAAGTACTGACTCCCTGAGCGACGCCGTTAGGCTTCGACGGCTTGGGTTGCGCGATGGCGGGAGTAGGCTTCGAAGATGATGGGTTGGAGAGTTGCTCAACGGGGTTGGTGACTGCACTGGGTTGTTTCGCGTGCTTGGACGGTTTCTCGATGGATTGTTTGACTGAAAAATCGCTAGGACGGGAACGAGGCGCGGGGCTTGGAGTAGGTGGCGTTGAAGGGCGGGGAGCAGTGACCTTTTGTGGACGAGGGGGGATGGTTGGTGTGAGAGCCGTGGGTGACGGTGTGCGTACAGGGACGAGTTGAGTAGATACTGAGAGTCGTTCTTGCTCCTGGCGCTTCTTGTGGGCTCTTAGAAAGGAGTCTTGTGTCTTGGGGACAACATGGTCGTTCTTTTCAAATAGGACACCTGCTTCAGAGAGTAGAGGCCTAGAAATACCTGCTTTTTCACCGATTGGTTTCTTAGTGGGCGCATCTTTTTGTTTTGAGGGATCGATGGCTCCGATTAACTTCTCCACGTCGATATTATTGTCCTTGGGTGAGTCAATCCGTGGAACAACGCCATTTTCACGGTTTGGAACTGGTTTTGCCGAGAGCGCATCTTGTTTGCTCAACTTCGGGATCACATATTCGTCCTCGACTAGCACCACCTTCTCAGTCCGTGGAACTGGGACGCTCTCGAGGTGGAATAATGCTTGGAGACTCTCCTTAGAGGATTGTTGGCGAATGTGTGCCGGGATATTCTCTATATTATCGTTAGTATTCCATGTAATGTACAATGAAACGTGGAACTCAAAGATAATTCTTACCAGGTGCAGGTGAAGCACTCATCCCCTTTCCGGCTGGTCGTCTATTTCCGCTAGTTCGTGGGATTCTCGCAAACCGACTTTCGGGGACGTTCAGATCTAGAGAGTTGAGATTTCCAATGTTGCCTTCACGAGCTCCTTCTTCCACGCGTTGAATGAGATTCATTCCATTCTCAAATGAGAAACGGCGAGCGGGGTTTCGAATGGCAGTAACAGCACTTGCTCCATCTTCTTCCGAGATTGGATGGACATTTCGGAGGGGACTCAAGGCACGGGTTGGGCTTTGGAGGTTATTTAAGGGCGTTGAGGAAACGGGAACTTCAATGGACTCAACCAGCTTTTGGGTGGAAGGTGGTGGAGTCATAAGCGAGTTTTTGGCATCAGTTGATTCAGCCCCCTTATCTCCCTTGTCTTCATCCACAGGCGTAGAAGATCTGGTAGACTGAACACCTTCCATAGGATCTGCTGATGAACGCATAGCATCATCTCTAGCGCGGCATTTATCGGCTGGTCCTCCTGGGAATCCATAGACAACTGAGCGCTTCTTTGATACAAGCGCTGGTACTGGTGCTACTTCTCCCTCCTCCATTTCAGCGTCGATATCCATATCCTCAAGGGCAATCGGCTTGAATGAATTAGCAGCTTCTTGGTCCTCTTGAATCAGCTCCTCGACCGTTGCATGATAGTCCTCAAGTACGTCTTGGCCCTCCTCAAGGACGGTGAATTGTTTCTCTGCTGGAAGCTCTGTGTGGCCAACCGCATTCTCTTCTATCTCTTCGTCCTTTTCCGGCAATGGGCTTGGGCTAAGAACCTGATCTGGGACTAGTTCGGCGTCTTCGTCATCAGATGGCCATCCACCGAAATCGGGTGATTGAGAGCGAAGATCAATGGTTGTTGCGCGTTCTCCGGGCTTTCCTTCTGTAGCTGGCTTGCTTGAACTGGTAGTCTCGCTTACTTTTCGAGCTGCCTTTACCGCATCTAAAGACTCGGGCTTTCCATTGGTCGTTGGCTCACTGGGAGTCTTATTTTCGCCTGTTTGAGCCGAAGGACTTTCTTCCGCCTTTGATTTCTCGCTTTTCTCTAGCGTAGTCTTGCTGGATTCACCAGACTCTTTTTCGTTGCTTTTGACAAATTTTGAGACTTTTCTATCGTTTTCGGCTGTCTCCTTGGACTGCTTCTCTTGGGACTTATCCTTGACAGGAACTACAACTTGTGGCGAACTTTGCTTTGCAGATGGGGTTGCACCACCAAGCTTCTGAAATTGGTCCGGCGAAACAAGATCTAGGTAACAAACATTAATATAACCTGGAACAAACAAAAGAGAGGGTAATCCAAGTGGTAGAGAAGCAAAAAGAAAGAGCAGGAAGGTGTGTGACCTACGGAATTTGTAAGTGCGGAAGTGCTTGAAGTCATCTTTATCCTCAGCAATTCTGTCTTTGAGGGTTTTGCTTGATTTGCCGTCGCCGGTGAACCTTTAGTCCTTAGCATGAGCTGACGAACACCAGGGAATGAACTTACTGGATAGAGTACTCATGGGGGATGTCATCAGAAAAGGTTTGCTCTCGGTCAGACCATCTAGGAACTTGATCGTACTTTGGCGCTCTCTCTTTGGCTGATTGAACACCTGAAGCTGCTGTCTCAGAGTTCTCTGGGTACTTGCGCCAATGTTGAACCTCGATGGTACTGACAGCAGAGGCAGGAGCACCAGGTGTGGTTTTGATGTTGTCTAACAAAGTATTAGCTCTTGACCTCTCAAGTGAACCGAGGTTAAAAAAGAAAATATGAGAACTAAACACTGCGTAATTGAGCCCCCATACCACAGATCTTGAGACCTTTCTTCTTGCCGCCTTCAAATCTGTAGCTCAAAACCTTGTCAAACTTTGTCTTGTAAAAATGTTTCTTTCCCTGGCCTTTTCGAACTGTGGCCATGCTCCTAGATACGCCATCGACCACTACTTCAATGAACTCTTCCGTATTTTCGGGAAGATGGGTCGTACATTGGAAAGTGATAGGAACTCCTGGTTTGGTTAGGACAAAGCAGCTGCGAGTAGCACCTCCGTCCGAGATGACTTGTGCCGACTCTTCAGCGTCGATCTCGTTGAATTTTAGAGTGCAACACTCATCCTTTAAGCGCTTGTGCTCGACCTTCATGGTGGGTAGCTAGGTGATACCGAGGTCAAGGCTTGATGGATGTGGTTGGAAAAAGTTGTTACTCTAAATACCGGAAGGTTGGTTGCAAGGTAGTTGAAGAAGATTCGGTCCAAGATCGAGGTAGAAAATCTTCCAGTCGAGAGAAAAGTGGGAGGCTGGGCACCTTGCCTTGATACAATTGAATTGAAGGTGAAGGTGAGGACGTAAGGAACCAAGAGCGAAATATTCGCGACCAAGTCAGAGATGGGTGTGATTTGGTAACGAGCAACAAAGATCGTTGGAAAGAATTGAATCAAGTCTATTTTGAAAGGAAGATAGATACTCGATCTCGTACGTTGTCGTTGTAGTGGTTGTGTTTTGGAGTTCGTAAGTGTCGAGCAAGCGAGGAATCAAGTTGAAGTATTGAAGTTGAACTTCGCTTTCCCAGCCACCCTCAACCCTTTATATTCACCTTGCCAGGTGATCACCTTTAGGTATCTCGCTGTTTCCCTACCAGCATCTTTTCCCATGACGTGCAGTCCGTAAAACAATAGCAAAGGGAAAGGTCAAGCAACCTCCAGTGGCGCCTAGAATGAGTGTCGGACAAACTCAAGACTTTGTAGCTAAGCATGTTACTGGTAACTTCATACCACAAACATAGGAGCAGCATCCCGGTTATGTCACCTCCGGACAAATGTATGTCTCATTCATACGATAAAGGCTGCATTGGGCATTCTACGTTCTAACACCTCAAAGACTAATAGCAACCGTACAGTGAATCTCTCAATAACAGTATTCCGTAACAATATACCTAGAATTGGCACACTTTCAAGATGTAGAACTCGCCTAAATGATAGCTTTCAAATCAGCCGACAAGGTCAATCACCAAAAAATGGATTCAGAGAAAATGGGCTTGAAAGCAAGAAACAATTTGTACACCTATCAGGTAAAATAACAGGTACAGAAGCTCGCCATATTTCAGAGACAGAGGTACAAACTTGCTTACTTTTAACCTGCTTTACCTTCTCCACGGATTCACCTGGTCACAGCTTTGCTTACTAGCAGATTCAGAATAACTTGAGTATTAACCGAGAATTTTGAGAGATGTTCATGCCATGAACGAAGCCACCATTCATCGTGGAAAGGAAAAGCACATCTGGCAATCGTTAAAGTATGTGTTGGTTGCCGTTTTTTAACAAAAGGAGTAGCTGGCTGCAAATATCATTTTTTGTAAGGAGAATGAGCAGTTTGTGTGGTTATAAGGGTATTACGGTTGGGGCTTACTCGAGTGTTGTGCTCTGAGTCATGGTGACATCTTTTGATGCTAGTCTGCAAAGAAAGGTCATTGGGATCAATCTTTCTCCGTTCCTTAGAGCAAGATAAATCAGCATCTGTGATCAAGAAAAAAATTCGTTTGAACAGTAAGATCTTACCTTTTATTAGGTTCCGCCATTTTCTAGAACTTGATCACAACCTCTATAATTCTCTCCCCAAAGGAGAAGCTTTTACATTGACCCACCCATTCAGACAAATATCTGGCTGTAGAAACCTTTAGCTCCCACCTCAGAATTCCATATACACACGTACTCGTATACCGTACTCAAGGGCAAATGTAGTAGTATACTTTTAACAGACAATGGAAAAGAAAGACAGGTGCTGATACTATAAACCCTTACAAGAGCTGTTTTTCATAGAAGACCAGCGCAAAAGGTCAAATTGCCACGTGGATATAATTCTCAATAGTTGGAAACTCGCCTTTTCCACCTTAGTCCATTTCCGGGAAAATGATCGAGGTACTACAGTAAATGACACAGGACACCAAACTAAAGTCCTACGTAACACACCCATCACCCACCCGAGGAACCGCCTTCACTACTGTTATATCCATCACCCCCCCCCTTCCCCCCCCAAGCTCATTATATCCTATATAGACTCCGCGCTCTCTACAGACACAAGATCATAAAAGCTAACCAGTTAACCCGCAGCGTATACACGACATCCGCAAGCTTATCCAATCCCTATTCCTCCTCAACCAGCCAAATGTACGAGACAGAGATTCCCCATCATGGACGTCACCGACCTCAAATATACCAGGACTTGATTCTTACCTATCCACAAGATACCGATATATGTACATCAAGGTGATGAATTATATTCTGAACATTACAGTACGCGAGAACCCAACAACCTTCAATACATGTAATCAGTGAATACCACCCAGCATTTGAACAAATAACATACCTACCCCATACCCTCCATCCCCCCCCTTTAATCTACCTTCACCCCCAGCCCTCCCCACTCACCTCACCACATACCTCTTCCTCATAACCCCCCCATCAAATCAACTAATTACACACCTATCAATAGTACCACTATAACTAGTACCTACAACCTCCCCTCCCCTCCGCGCGCCTAGTTCGATTTCCCCCAAAGCAAGCCCAAAGGTTACTGTATCTTACTAGCCTGGTAAAACGATATAGTCCTTATACTTATAAGCCAAATAATAAATTATAAAAACTCAGTTCGTAAGTCTGGGTTTCGGTCCGCTGCGCTCTTTATGATGGGAGAGTTGGATTTTGTCGGGGATTTCTTTTGTGGTTTTTTGTGGTTTTTTGGGGGCGAGGGAAGGTGGTTGGGCAGGAGGAAGGGGGGCAATGGGGGTAATGGGGATTAGAGGGGGTAATGAGTTGTTGTTTGGGGCTGGGGAGATAAGTGTGTGAGTAGATGAGTGAACTATTGCTCGCTTGGTGGTCTGTATAGGGGTATCTTTTGTTTCTAGGTATAGTACTGTACATGTATGTACAGAGATTTTACACACTCATTGCTCGTACATCTAGTACACACCATAAAACCCACAGTCATCAAGTCAGACCTCTCGTCTCAACCCCCATACCTACGTCCAAACAGACAACGGTGGAAACAACGCCCCCTCAGGCTTCCTTCCCGGCCCCCTTCCAGGCATAGAAGTCCCATAATCAAAATCCTTTCCATACACCGCATCCTTTAAAGAGCGTTTGCCCTTCTCTACACCCAACATATCAAGCAGATACTCCGCCTTGGCCGGTATATACGGCTGCAACAGGATGCCCGTAATACGCAGGGCTTCGGCGCAGTGGTACACGATCTCCTCGATGCGTTGCTGGTTGGCGTCATATACAACACCAGTATCGGGTCTAGTTACGAAGTCCTGGGTTCTGCCCAGGATCCAGGGTGAGGCGTCTTGGAGGAATTTGTTGGTCTGTGGATGCTGTTAGCTGGAAAGGTTTTATGGGGAAAGAGTAAGAATGATCGACTACCTCGTAGACTGTGTCCATTATTAGATGTAACGCGGCGGCGGCGTTGAGTTCTCCCATTTTTGCACTTGCTAGTTTCGCGAGGACAGAAAGATATTTCGCTTGGGATGTTTGATATCCGGTACTGCTAAGCAATCCCCGGTCTCTAATCGCCTCAATGCACTTTCGTACGTTCCAGGTTTTAGGCCGCGTAATTCGACTAGCTAGATTTCCAAGGCCTCCTTGAAGACCTTTTTTGTATCGCTCAACGATGTGGTGGTTTCCGTAATCAGAATCGTTGGTAATCCCTCCATCATGAACAAGATAGTAACGTATGGCGTCGACACCAAAGCGATCCATAGCGAGCGCAGGACTAACTACGTTCCCCGTTGATTTGGCCATTTTTTGGTTTCCTAGCGTCCAGTGGGCATGGGCGAGGATCCGCTTGGGGGGTTCGAGGCCCAAAGCGAAGAGAAAGGCGGGCCAATAGATACAGTGAAATCGAACGATGTCTTTGCCAATTACGTGAAGGTCTGCTGGCCAGCCAAGTTCTTGCTCTTTGCCAGGTGCCCATGGATAGCCGGCTTTCGTGGCATAGTTTATCAGAGCATCTAGCCATACGTAAATTGTCTGGGTCTCATCTCCGGGTACAGGAATTCCCCAGCTAAGTCTCTCAACAGGTCTGGAAATGGAGAGATCCTCCAGACCAGCAGATACCCAGTTGACTACATCTTTCATTCTGGTCGCCGGTACCACAAATTGAGGATTACTTTTGTAGAATTTCAGCAGTCGATCTTTGAAAGCCGACAGTTTGAAGTGGTAATTGGGCTCCGAGGTCCATTCTACCTCCTTGCCTGTCTCTTGCGATGCCATGAAGGTTTTGCCAGTGTATGGATCCAACCGCTTCTCGATCGCAGATTCGGGATAGTAAGTCTCATCACTGACACAATACCAACCCTCATGCTTCGATTGATATATATAACCCGCTTTTTCCAACATGAACCAAGCGTATTGCACAGCATCTTTATGTGTTTGATCCGTTGTCCGCACAAAATGGTCGTTCGCAAGACCTATCCTCTCTGCCAGATTCTCGAAAGTCACCGAGGTCAAATCACAGAATTCCTTGGGTGCCATATCGGCATGAGCGGCTGCTTGCTGGACCTTCATCCCATGCTCGTCTGTTCCTGTACATAGGAAGGCCTTTTTGCCGCGCAACACCTGCCATCGCTTGAAGACGTCCGCGAGGACCATGGAATAGAGATGTCCAACATGAGGAGCTACACCACGATTAGCACATGTACATGTAATACAATAGACCCAAAAATTATTGAGACGCCGTCGCCAGTCCACCTACCAGCATTAACATAAAAAATGGGAGTGGTGACATAGTAGGGCTTTTCAATTGCCGGTTTAGAGCTTGATGGTGCCGGTGCGGACGGCGTAGAAGCGAATGCCCACCGTGAGGAGCTTGAAATTTTGCATGACGGGCATACCCAAGGTGGTTTGATGAGTAATCTACCCCCTCGAGCCGATCGCAGTCGCAATTGATGCGATGTTAGAATCCTGAGATTCATCGCAGATCTTATGGAAGCTCTAAAACTTGAGCTCCAAGCTCTTGTCCCCAGAAATGTAGATGGGGCTGGTGTGACCTCAGCCTGGAAGTGCGGAATGGTGCCGCGCCTGAACGAATGCACGAGTGCATCTCCAACGTCAATTTGTTGCCGGGGAAAAGTAATTTACATCATAGATACTCAACACCACGGATTTTCTTGAACATCTATTGATCATAGAACACAATTGTCTCCATTCTTCCGCATTGATGGGAATTCTCACATTCGAAAACTATTTCCCGTGAATTTGGCTTGAGCATCCGACGAATTTTGGAAAGAATTTCCAGCTATTACCTACCCCTCCAAGATGTCTGAACTGCCCGAAGATCTAGAAGTCAGAGTCGCAGTTGAGGGCAAGTACCTCCTCTTTCTCTATCCGTATGAACACAACACTAACACATCCCAGCCTCCGAAATCTTCACCCAATCCTACTACCCCTCTCTCTCCCGGCCACACACCATCAAAGACATCCCCAGCTACTACGTCCCCCTCTCTCCCAGCTCGCCTCTTAAACCCTCCATCTCACTCAACGGCAACCTCGTGACGGACCCTGCCTCTCTCCCCGCACTATTTGAAAAGCAACCGCCCAAAACACACTACGAGGTGCAATCCTTCGACTGCCACGTCCTCAACGCGAATTTCAACATTGGCGCACCCGAGGGCCTGCTGGAGCCGAACAACGCCGGCAAGAAAATGAGTATTGCGGTGACGGTTAGTGGGAGTGTGAGGTATGGGGAGGGCGCGGACGTACAGGGGTTTATGGATAATCTTGTGCTGGTGCCGAATTGGGACGTGTATGGGAAGCCGGCGAAGGGAAGGAGGAAGTGGATTGTTATGAGTCAGAAGTTTAGGGTTGTTGCTTGATGCTTGATTTTGGTTGAGTAAGGGAGAGAAAACAGTTGGTTGTGGAGATGAGATACCCCGTGTTGTGTTGTTTTGTTTGAAAATGTTTTTGTTGGCTATTGGGGGACGAAAATGTACTAATCTTTCTTGGTCCTGGATGTGATGTTTTATGAGTGTGTTAAGCTTGATAGTCCTACGTGCGAATTCGAGATTTGTGCTTTCTACGGGGGCGAAAAAACGTCTGAATATCCTTCCAAGTCAATTCCTTCGTCTTGCCACTTGGTAAGTCTACGCCACACAGAGGTAATAAGAAATATTCTGGATTTATGAAGTTTCTTGTTCAGTTTTTCAAAGTCAATTGGTTTATTTTATGTTTTGCGGTCTCTGTTTCTTTAATTCCCTATTTTCTGACATGTACAGACATGAGCTTGTCTAAAGGCAGATGGAGAGCGCGGTGTTCTTTCTGTCCCTGTGGAGAGCTACGAGAGACTGAGACACGAGACGAGACGACGAGACGATGTATGTGGATATCACTTGAACACTGTTCCACAAACTCCCAGATATTCCGCGAGATGATTCCCTTTTTCTATTGTTATTATGTTTGCTATTTACAAATACCCACATGTGGTATGCCTTGTTGCCGAGATTCGATGTTACCGAGGGCTGATTGCCAAGTTTTGCTCTCGGTTATATTCTTGGAGAAAATCTGACAATAATACATACATATCCATTAGCTTCCATATCTTTGTCATATAGTAAGCCCCTACACCTTTCTCCTTGGGTCTTTCATAAGTCCAACAAAATCACGTTTCTTCTGTTTGACATTAAATAACATTCCATGTAGACTTCGAACGAAGAAGTTCCAGTTACATCTCGGGTCATGAGTTCTCTGGAAATTAGCGGCATGCTATAAGAGTCGGGCGATCAATAGATCAGAAGAGGGCTACTCTTCAAGCTGATGTCTTTGATTCGCAACGAGAGCTCTAGGGAGAAAAGCTCCGCATGGATATATCCACACGGAGGTGTCGGCAACGTAAAACAACAACTCCTACCACTGCCCTATAACTTATTGATGGGAGTAAGTAAGAGACTCCTTCTGATTGGAGACTTATATTGTGCTAAAGTATATTCTGGTACAGTGAAGGAAGAAGAAGAAGAAGAAGAAGAAGAGATGATGCAACTGGATCGTTGGTGTTACAATGACGTCGCTTCAGAGCTATACTTACCCGTTCTAGCACATACCATTGACTGATAACACCTACGTCTTGCACGCATGTCGAGTCGTTGTCTCGGTGGTAGTGGTGCTCACGAGGGTATATGGAAGGCAATTGGAGGAAGGAAATGGACTAGAAGGTAGATTTGGGTGTAGGTGCTTGCGAGACTGGCTGGTGGGGAGAAGCGGAAGGTGCCATGGTGTCGCTGCTTCAAAGGTGTGAGAGGGGGTATGAGGGGGCTACGGGAAGGGAGTTATCTCAATAGATGCTGATCCGAGCCGGAAAGGGATTGGTCGTCGCTCCTGGGGCCACGGAAGAATTTTTCATTTCCTCACGATGGTTGAGTGTGGTGACTGACTACGTTAGTCTTCGTGGTTCATCAAGCTAAAGGGTGGTCACTTGTTGGCACAGTGGGTTTCCCACGATTCCCCACGGCCTTTATCGTTCCTGCCTTTCCTCTGCTGCTGCTTCTGCTTCTGCTTCCCCTTCTTCTCTTTTTTCCCACTGCCAAAATCTACCAGGCTCACAATCCAATGTAATCAACGCATCTGCTTCTGCTTCTGCATCTGCATCCGTTCGCTCAGCACCAAAAGTTATCGACATCCAGCCAAAGTCCCTCTCACTCGTTGAATTGCTCATTCTAATTGCTGTCGTTACTACCGCGCTGCGTTCAAGTACTTCGTTTTATCATATTCATTCGACATTGAGCTGTCCACGTGTAAGTGGTTGGTTCAATAGAACAATAGCAGCTTCTTGACCTCGAACTCAACCTCTACTCTGCCAGTGTCTACTTGCTACTTTCACCAGCTTCCTATTGTCTTCACCCACACAGATTCACCACAGCAACGCACTTGCAATACAAAAGTCCACCACCAGCACCAGCACCAGCACCAACACCCAGCCTCGCCTTTTCCCACTAAAGGCGACCTCGACAATCTTTTGATATCGCAACATCTTGTGCCCTCGTCGCGCTCCAGCACAGACAACCCCAGCATCCATCTTCGGATTACTCGACGTATCTACTGGCAACCGCAATTCCCCTTTGCCTATTTTTGTATTCTGGATTGGTCCTCTCTCTACTTGGTTCTTGCGCATCTCTTCCATGGATCCTTCCCACGTTGGCTTCCCACCGCAACACATTTCGCAAGCGCCATTCGTCTCTTCTGTCGGCGCTTCTGTCGGCATGGAGATGAACAACATGAACAATATGAACACCATGAACGACATGAACGACATGAAAACCATGGACAACATGAACAGTACTAACAGCATGATCACCATGAGCAGCATGAATGTCATGGGCTTAGAGAGGGGCTTGGAAGTAGGCTATACTTGCCCTCGCTGCTCCTGGGGAAAGCGTGAGCATAGTACCAGATTAATGAGCTTGTCAACTCTCCAGAAGCACGCCCAGACTGTGCACCATGTGCAACCTCATGCGATGGAAAAGTTTGGTGAGTTCAATAACAGTGACTCAAGTTCCCATACTAATAGTCATGTAGTGAGTGAAGCAAACCGACAAGAGAGACGACCTTCAGCTCCACAAACACCTGTTCCAGCACTTCAACCCTATGCTCCTCCTCCACAAATCAATGCCTCTGGAGCGATGGGCATTCAACAACACCAACAACACCAACAACACCAACAATACAACACAGGTCCATCCCCTCAACATCACGTCGCTTCACCACACATCAGCCAGGCACCTCGCTATATGAACCCAGCTGTCCCTCAAGGATTTGTCGTTCATACTACAGACGGTACGAATATACCACAGGTGCCAGCAGAAATTCTAGAGAAGATACCACCTAATTATCAACTTGTTGTCCAACAGCTGGAGCCAAATCAAATGGCCTCCCGGCCACCGCAGTTTCCCCCATCTTCACAAGCACCTGCAGGTCAAGTAAATCAAAACCCGGGTCAATACTGGGGCCCAGCACAAGTCTCTAGAAGCCATCTAGTACAAATGCCAACCAGCTTTCAACATACTACTGCGCCACCACTGGGTTACATGACACAAGCAAATACATTACCTATTAGCACACAAGGACCTGGTGGCTGTAATTTTCAACCTCCAAACCAGCCTCAAGGACTTGCTCAAACTACGCTGAGCCAGCAAGCTATACCAAACTATCCACACTTGTCTATAGAATCAAACGCAAAAGTGGAAAATGTACGCCAACTTATGGATCAATTTCATCATGCTTGCGAGACCCGAGGTCACATCAATGCAGCTGATAATCCCGTTATTTACAACGGCATAACATATGCGGAAGTCAAACATTTCGAAAAATATTGGATGAAATTCGATCCACATGAGAAGATGGCTCTCCAGAACAGACTTCCCTATGTGTATGAAGCGATGCTACGTCAGCGTTCTCGTCCAAACGGTCAACCTGGCGTACCCCCTCAAAGACAAGTGTCGTCTCCAGTGCAATACGCGGTGAATAATACGGCTAATATCACTCAACCGATCAATGTAATTAGCACCAACTACCATAATCCGCCCACCTCCATCAAACAAGGCCCAGGGACACCAGTCCAACAATCTCCTCTTCAAAAGCCCGTTGATCCAAACGCCCCACCTCAAAACACCAACGCAGATAGACCCATGCCATCAGGCTCTGGTGCTCGCGGTCCAGGTAATCCAAAGATGAACCCAAATTATGATGTTCAGAACATGCTTCGCAAAAGATCCTTGAGTTTCCAGAACCAACCAAACGCCACAAACCCTCAAACCCAGCCTGCTTATAGATCAGATCTCCAAACCTCACGCGGGTTACTTCGTGTTAATGAGAGCGGTTCTCAAGGTCCTCTTGTTTCCAACGTGCAAACAGTCTCGCCAACGCTGGAGTCCATCAATCCTGCCCCAGTCAATATGCAAAATACAAACCCCCACAAAGGAAAAACAAACCAAGACTTTAATCCAAATGCTGGATTCACCTCATCAGCTCAAGCCCACAAAGTCTGCACCGGAAATTCTGCCAATCCCACAACTCCTTCGATTGGAAGTATATCGACAACTCGTTCGGGGCCTGATGGGTATATCAACACCCAGAATCCCCAAACAGGCCAAAGCGGAGGCACCCAAAATGTACAGTCGATGTCACAAATATGCTCTGGGACTGAGAGCTTGAAAGCAAACGCTACTTTGGCGAGAAAACGACAATTTGGGAGTTATCAAGAGAATAGTGAATCCACAGCTTCGGAGGACGCGACCGTCAAAAAACCGAGATTATCAAGTTCCATAAATCCTGGATCCATTCCACAAACCCCGGGCAGCAGCCAGAGATCTGGAGGCTTAGGGCCAAACCTTTCAGCCAACACTACTAGACATGTACTTGCAGGGCCATCGCGAGTCAACAGCATGTCCTCTCCAGCGCGGCCTAACAGTCAACAGCTGCCCAATAAGTCAAGAGCACAGCCGCCTGCCCATAATTTGGGAGACGAGCAATATCGGCAGTTCCTCAAGCAAGCTCACCCAACCTGCGGGGTAGACAGTTTTTGGTCGTATGAAGAGTTCCGCCGTGGACTTCGTGCTCCGGGAAAATCCTTGAATAATTTAAAGCGGATGTTTCAAGCTCATTTTATGGTAGAGCACCAGGACAAATTGAAAGCTTATGGCCTTTGTCCCTCCTTCGATGCGCTTATTGACCTTTCGAAAATGGACCAACTGCAAACAAAGACGTACAAGGAGACCTGGGCTGTGGAACTGACGAGTTTGATGGTCGCTCGATTAGCAAAAGTGGAGCAAATGAAGAGAAATGTTCATCAAGCAGATTTACAAAGAGAGTTGAACAGAAGAGAGGAAGAAAGGGTCGCAGAAGAGGAAAGAAAGCTAGCAGTATATGCCAAAAGGAACGCAGAATATGAGAGGCACGTAGAGGCAGAGAAGCAGAAGGCGAAGGAAGAGCGTAGGAGGAAAGATGAGATTTTCAAGAGGGCAGAAGAGGAGAGAAAGAAGAAACGTCTCAATGAGATGAAGGAGCGAGTACCGGAGAAGAAAGCCCTTTACGGGATGCTCAAAGCGTCCACGGTTGGTTGCGATCCTATATTCCAGCTCCCAGATGAGCGAGAATTTGTAAAGGATGAATTGAAGGAGTGCTTTGAGGCATTCTTCCATATCGAGAGTATTACGGCAGAGGGCTGGGAATTCATTAATCCTTCTGATCCTCATCCTATCTATCGACTGGATTGAGCAAAGTTTGAGCGAAGGTTGAGCTGGAGGCACTGGTGGATAAAGGCCTTACCAGTGGTGTACACTTGTATGTGGTGGGGCGTTGACAGCTTACTTTTATGAGATCCGAAAACACTTTGGGAGGATCTGGTCAGAGAGGAAATGTTTCAGTTGATTTCTGGCGTTTGGAAGGGACTTTACTGAAGAATTGAGGAGTTTTGCGATGGGTGTTTCTTTTGATCGGACTCGATAAATCCTGGTTGATTTTATTGGGCCGAACTCGGTGGTCAAATATCGGTTGGACTGGCATGGGGGTTTTCTTATGGCGAACCCAGACCATAGGGATACATGGGATATGGAAACTGAAATCAGATAGTTTCCTCGTGAATTGATACTATAAACATAAGACTGAGGTTTAATTTGGGTGCATCGTCATTTTGTGTCCCACATGTGTTTAACGATTACATTCCATAAGGCTGAGCTGCATTGAAGAGTGGTCGTCTGCCCCTTTCGCTTAGCGGATGATCTGCGGTGCATGAGCTCGTGGACAGATCTCGGAGGGGCTTACAGGTCTTTGTGTCGAGGTCTCAACAACTTTCTTCTCCAATTCGACAAACATTTTTCAATATCCATCTTCTTGCAGGCCATGATGGATTTTCTGCAGGTATGTAGCCTCCCACTCCGCTCCTCAATGACATTGATGGGGGTAGATAGCCAAGCTAACATGAATGGGTGTACAGCGCCTTGCGCGTTTCCTCGACAGGCCTCTCTTTCCATGGAAGAAGCTTATTATTGGCTTCTCCCTTGCGCAATTCGCGTTCGAGGGCTTCCTTTCTTTACGACAGTATCAGGTTCTCAAAAAGACTGCTCCGCCAAAGGTCCTGAAGAATGAGGTTTCTCAGGATGTGTTTGATAAGAGTCAGGTATGTCTGACTTTCCGTCCATCCGGGCAATTATCCTCCTTCTGCAACGCAGTCGCGGGGCATTTCTCTCCTTCCACGCAACACATTGCCATACATCTGCTGATACGAGGTGATGTAGGCATACGGTCGCGCAAAAGCAAAGTACAATCTCTTCTCGGGTCTCTACGGTCAAATCCAAAACACGGCATTCATCTACTACGACGTTCTCCCCAAGCTCTGGGCTGTAGCCGGCTCCTTCCTACTATCCTACGCACCGGCTCGCTTCCAAGGCGAGATCTCGCAGTCCATCATCTTCGTCCTCGCATTCATCTTGATCCAGCAGGTTATCTCGCTCCCTACGTCCATCTACCACACCTTCGTGCTGGAAGAGAAATTCGGGTTCAATAAACAAACGCCTAAGCTATTCATTACGGATATCATCAAGGGACAATTCCTCGCACTCGTTCTCGCACCACCGATTCTTGCTGCCTTTCTCGCGATCGTTCAGAAAGCGGGACAGAATTTCTTCTATTATCTCTGGTTGTTCGGTGCTGGATTGCAGGTTTTTATGATTACTATCTATCCGATTGCTATCCTGCCTTTGTTCAACAAACTGTCTACCCTCGAGAAGGGCGAGTTGAAGACTGCCGTTGAGGGACTGGCTGCTGGATTGAAGTTCCCTCTCCATGAACTGTATGTGATTGATGGCAGTAAGCGCAGTGCGCATAGCAATGCGTATTTCTTTGGGATGCCGTGGAAGAAGCATATCGTCATCTATGATACGCTGATTGAGAAGAGTGGGACGGAGGAGGTGGTTGCAGTGCTGGCGCATGAGTTGGGGCACTGGAGTTTGGGGCATACTACCAAGTTGTTTGGAATTTCGCAGGTATGTTTTTTTTACGTTACACGCTCTTGCAGCCTTGATTATATCCTGGAAGGGGAAAGGAGGTTTATGGTTTTGATTCTAACGGGTTTATGTTTATAGGCACATTTCTTCTACATCTTCTCCCTCTTTTCCGTCTTCATCAACAATAAATCCCTCTACCAATCCTTCGGCTTCACCAACACACAACCCATCATCATTGGCTTCATCCTCTTCTCGGACGCGCTAGCACCCATGGACACCGTCATCAAGCTACTGATGAACATCCTCAGCCGCAAATACGAGTTCGAGGCTGATGCGTTCGCGCAGAAGCTGGGATACCAAACCGAACTGGCCCGTTCTTTGATCAAGCTCCAAATCCAAAATTTGAGCACCATGGATGCGGATTGGATGTATGCTAGTTATCATTTCTCGCACCCGATTCTGGCGGAGAGACTAGGCGCTTTGGGGTGGGTTGATGAGAAGGCTGTTAGTGGTACCGAGGGGGAGGATGAGAAGGTTTCCAAGGCGAGTGGGAGGGAGTTGTAAATGTATGGATAGGTGTAGGTTTGTGTATGGTATGTGTGTGACAATAGAAGGGGGCCTTTAGTTTGGATGTTGGATGGTATGCCATTGCTTTCCAGTAGATTTTTCTTCTTGTTTCTTCTTGGTCGTGAGATTCATCGTAAAGTAATCATGTGAAGTTTACACTTCCACCTGTTTCTGTGCAGCAGCAGCCTTCCTCTTCTCCTCCTTCTCTCTCTTCTCCCGCTTGAGTTTCTCTTTCTTCTCCTGTTTTCGGGCTTCCTTGTCCTTCGTTGATTTCTTGGCTTTGGGTTCTGCTTCCACATCTGCATCCGCAACGGCAGTGGCGCTCTTCCTTTTCAATGATTTTGTGCTTGTCACAGTCTCATCCCCAGCATACTCATGCTCCACATCCCCATCCTCTTCCTCCTCCTCCCCAGTCTGCGCAACAACCGTACTCTCCCCCACAACCTCCCCCTCCACATCCTCCTGCTCCAACTGATAATCCTCCAGATTCTGCCACCCCTCCTCCTTCCCTTCCTTCTCCTTCCCCTGCGCAATGGCCACTTCTAGATCCACCACCGGCGCCAACCATTCCCCGCGTAATCCTGCTTCCACTCGTTGGAGGTTGCGCAGTGTGATGCTTGTGCTGCTTCCGGATGTGGGGCCTGAGGCTGTGAGTTGGACGTTGGGGAGTAGGTAGGCGTGTGTGTTGGAGAGGGTTATGTATGTGGAGAGCAGTTTTTGGGCGTAGGCTGCTGGTACGGAGAGAGGGGCGTGGGAGCGGATGGGGGGGAAGGATGACATTTTGATTTGAGGTTTGAGGTTTGAGGAGTCGAATGGTGGTAGAGAGTTGTGGTTGTGAGGGGATGTTTTGCGCAATTGGAGGTGGGAGATAGTAGGTTGCGCGAACAACTCGAGGTGGATGGGTTGTAGAGCCGTTGGTGCCTTGTGTGAAAGTACTTTGAGCGCGATATGGGTGGTTCGATAAGTTGATTAAGAGTATGCGACTTTAATTGAGAACAAGAATTGTATTTGCGATTGCGATTGCGCCGTGGAAGATTGAGAGATGTTGCGCTTGAAAAGTTCGAGGTGGGTTGTAGCCGGGTCGGGTCGGGTTTCCAGAAATTTTTCAAGCGCGGGCCGAGTCAGCCTCGTGGACCGCCATGGGAACTCCACTTCCGACCTGAGAGAGCTTCACAACACCAAGAAGAGAGGGACGCTGAGGAATTCAATTGTTCGACCTCCACGCAAAAATGTTGTGTTTACGTTGCTCTCGGGGCCTGAGTGCCTTCTCTGGATTATCTAGAGCGACGAGAATACCACAATCTCTCACCACCAAAGGAGCTGCAGCCGGAGCATCAAAAAGGTATCATCCACCTCCTCCCACCATACCATCCCACACCAACAATCAACCGCCAACCCAACTAACACCCACAGAACATTCACAAATCTCACCCCCCGCCGCCCAACAATCTTCCCCTCCACCCAACGCTCTTTCGCCCCACCTACTCAATCCCTCCCCGCCACCGCAACCACCACCTCGCACACGGGAGAAATCCTCGATGTCGCGATCTTGCCGTACAAGATGTCGGGCCACGAAGCGATGAGGGGGATGCAGGTCCGTTGCGCGCCGAGGAATACGTTTAATCCGAGTCATTTTGTGAGGAAGCGACGGCATGGGTTTTTGGCGAGGTTGAGGAGTCGGACCGGACGCATGATTTTGAAGAGGAGGAGGGTGAAGAAGAGGAGTACTTTGAGTCATTAGGTGGGGGGAGGGAGTGTGAGATGGTGTCGAGGCATGGTGGGAAAAGAGGGAGAGGGGAGAGGGGGAGAGGGGTGTATGAATATTTGAAGATGGTGGGGATGCGGAGGATATACTTGTATGAATGGATGCCATTGGTTGCATGTTTTCAAGTTAAGGGTAGGCTTCAAGTTGTCAAATCTTATCGAAACTAAGTCGACGGTTGAGTCAAAGGATTCGCTTTGATCCGTTTGATTTCATTCTGAAATAGGCTGGATTGTTGTGTCTTGTGGGTGGTTCGTGGAGAGCAAAGTCAGACTCTCTGGGCTTGAGTATTTGAGCACCTCTTCAAGGGTCACTGTGGCTTTCTTCTTCTCCTTGTTTGGGTAATATGATACTCGATGACTACAGCTAGGTGTTTCTCGTATAAAACCTGTTGGTGGATGGCAAGTGTCTAAACTGAGATTCGAATTCTCTAGACATAGGACCAAGAACTTCTAGTGCTTCAAGTACTTTTCAAGGACTTTTCAGATACTTTCTTTTCAGTTTGGTCCATCTTTTGCACTCCGAGAGTTGTTCTTTCCTTTACCGTGAACAGCAGTTCCAAGTATCGTCAAGGAAGGAACTTCCCGAAGTCTCTTTCCTTCACCAAGCAGACGGGAGAGCCTCAAAAATGTGTCGAAGACTTGTTCAGTTCCTCATTTTATTATTTTCAAAGCAGTACATTTTTTATTAAAGAATTCTTGTCCCAATAATCACCCCAAACCCACCCAACAATCAATAACCCATCCACAATGCATCTCACCAACCTCAAGCTCCTCGCCCTCTCCACCCTCGCCACCCTCTCCACCTGCCAATCCACCATTCCCTGGAAAGTCAAGAACTTCAACGTTCATCATGTCCCAGGGACTATGATTGGAGTGTAACCTTTCCTCTCCCTTTTCCTCCCCCATCTTCTTCCATCTCACTGATGGGCATGAAAATCCAGATGGAGCTTCGACATCAACGACGACAGTCCCGCCCCCTACGGCTTCAAAACCAAATGCACATACTACACCACGGCGGCCCCACACTTCGCTATTGATGCCGCACCGGTCAAGGTCGCGTGCGAGGATAAGAGCGTGGTTTTTACGTTTGAGCAGCCGGTTTTGAGGAGGGATTTTGTGTTGAGTGTTTTGCATACTTGGGGGGGTTGTGGGTATGTTTTTTTTCTTCTTCTTTGCCTTCTCCTTATTCCTTTTCCTTATTTACTTGTCACTTATTACTTTCTTGGTTTCTGGATTGGAGTTTGGCAGAATGGGATGGGAAGAAATACTGATACGGAAACGGTCATAGAACCTCCTCCCAATTAGGCTGCATCGATATCGGCTTCTGGACGTTTAGTGAAGACGACGTTCGAGGTCAGCTGTTTGATAAGGATGGGGAGTCGGTGAAGGCGGATTTCATGAGGAGTCAGTTGATGGTTTACCCGCAGAGGTTTGTTACGGAGGAGAGGACCAAGGAGATGGTTCGGGCGTTGGAGGGGCAGGATGTGGATGCGGGGGAGGAGTGGAGTTCGGTTTGAGAGACTGTGGTGCACTCTTTTTGGTGGTGAGGGAATGTGTGTGGGTTGGGGACTGGTGGAGGGGAAGGTGTTGTTGTGTTTTGCCTTCGTTCTTGTGAATGGATAGTTTTATCTCTGATGTATCCCCTGCTTTTCATACAAGCAATCATCTCCCCCCCTCGCACACCCCCCCGCGAAGTCCCAATCACCTAAAGGTAGAGCTGGAGCACTCAATTAAATATTCTAGTGAACAATCAAGCTCTTTAATTTTCCCTCCCTCAGGTCAAAACTTGGCTCTCTCTATAAATTAAACATTCCATCTTAATTGATAACAAAAACATGTCTATAACTATATGTCTTTTATAGTTACTATAAAGTAGCTAATGTTATTGCTTTAGAAGTATTTAGAAAGGTCTATTTAAGTTAGATACAAAGGGATAGTACTACTCGAGTAGTCAAATCCACTACTCAACTCAACTTAACTCGAAGGAACCATCTGCTCATACTCATTCAGCTCTACTCGAGTGGCGTTAAGTAGTTGAGTATTTTTGTAATCACGCTGAATCCGGTAGGTTAGGTTATAACTTAGGGTATTGCAATTGAAATGTAGAGTGTCGGCAAAATCTACTCATCGGACTAACGCGTAACTAATTGTCTAGAGGGTCGCTAGGGTGTCTATAGTAGGCGTTCTACAAGGACTTGGGCCGAATTATACTGTACTACCTAGGTACGCAAATAACTTATATGTTACTCGAGTACTTGGCGAGTTAAGTTGAATAGCGATTTTCGCTACTCGAGTTCAGTTAAGGAGGTGCTACTACTTAACTCAACTACTCGGATTTACCACGCTACTTGTTTCTGTCAACCTCCATATTTTCCGTTTTCTTTATTCCAGGAAGGGAACGGGGGGAATGTTGTATGCGGAATGAAAAGTAGGCTGATGGGTTCGTTTCTTTGTTTTGTGGCTTGCGGGCTAGTTCGGTGGTAACAATTGATGGCTCGATTGTGTGATGTGTTGTATCATGAGAGTGGCTTTCATTTGAGGTTATTGAAAGGGCTGGTTGGTGAGAGGGAGTCTACCCATTTCCAGGAGGGTGGTGGAGGTTTTAGGAGCAGAGAGCTGACGTAGTCACGTAGGCAAACCTGTGGGCTTCTCTAGGCGGAGTGGAACGAAGATTTGGGCTGTTGGGATGTACGACGAGTATTTGCGACCATTTTGGTGTAAGGTGGAGGGAGTGAGTACTGTGTTTATGCTCGTTCTACTCCTATCTTGGTACGACCAGCTGCTTTCGTGATGGTGAGGAAGAAAGAGGGTTTGAAGTTAGGATGATGTTGCGATATGCAGGAGAGTTGGTGGTGGGATTTGAACGTCTCAGAGAGAAGTCTTGGTTGACAGGGGTGCTTGTTGGTAGATAGCTATGAAGCATAAGGGTAAAGGCATTGTGGCTTCCTGCCGTGTGGGAGGCTTTGGGATAAAGGGGTTCTTTGGGGATATGTGGGTTGCTATAGGGCTTATGGGGTTAAGGGAATTGTGGGAGGTACCGTAAGAAGTTGTAGGGAATGGTACAATGCGTTCAGTGCATAGTGCAGTTTCAAAATCGTAAAACTGCTTACAGTTCTGGTGTTGTTAGTTAAACTACGGTGCAGTAACTAGTAAACTAGTTATAGTGTACTACGATAGTATACTAGAACTAGGCGAAGTATTAGTTATTCTAGCTAGGTTTCATGAAATATCACGCTCTTATAACTTTCAGGGTTAAGGTCAATTTTTAGTTTTACTCTTGTATTTATTAAGGCTCTCTTATGTTAAATAGAGTAGCTTATTATTTTACTTACTTATTATTACTAGAGTTTGTCTGTTATTATAATTTCGAGAATAATTAGTACTTTATATAACGTCTTCGAGAATATATAGAGTTATCCAAAAGAAGTTAATATACATATAGTGTAATGGTAGTTATAGTATACTGGTTTTAGATTAATAAACTACACTAACTAGCCAGTATATACAAGTATTATAAATCTGTTCAAAATCATATAAAACAGATTATAATACACCATATACCACAGTGGTTACGTACTATACCTATCCCCACACGCTGAAGTTCCTTTTTCCCTGTGAGGTGGTGGCGGGTAGTGCGGGGATAGGGGTTTCGATACTCTCTCCCCACCTAATCAGAGGTTAATCGGGAACTTTATTGTTTTGCGGGCGCACGGTACTCCCGCCTTACGAAATTTAGTGCATGATGCTGTCACAAATAACATTTAAATAGGGGGCAGGGAGTAACCATTGAGTTTAGGCTTGTCAGTTTAGGCTGTTGTTTTTGAAGGAGGGAGGCCTGGGAGGGAGGGTTTGGCCAAGTTAAAGAAGGCGTGCTTTGGTTTGAGAAAGGCGGTCTCAGTAGGTGGCGATCGTATTCGCAGTCTCCCTATTGGTTGCAGGTTGGTTGGTTGGTTGGTTGTATTTAAGCGAGGAGTAAGAAAACAGGGAAGTACATGTATGTACACCTCAATAACTGTATTTTATATTGATGTGGAAGAAGGAAGCTAAATGGGTACGATTACGTCTTGCCGATTTCACATAATTTCTCCCATAATATTCACCATTCGCCAAGACCACAACCGACCAACAAAAATGGGTCTCTCACTCTAACCGAACCTCAAAACAAAAATCACCCAAAAACTTTTTTAAAAAAAAGCCAAAAAATCCCACTCCCATTTAAGGAGCGCAGGGGACCGAAAACGAGACTTACCTAGTTTTGCATTATTTTTTAGCTTATAAGTACTATATATTTTTAAAGGCTAGTACAGTAACCTTTCCCGACCACTAAGCCATTGCAGTTACCTAGGGACCATCAAGAGGTGTGTAATTGGTGGATTTGGTTGAGAGCTTCTTATCTTGATTTACAAAGGTATGGAGGTGGGTGGGTCCGCTCTTGAATGGGTATAGGTTTTTGGGTTCGTTATCTGTTAGGTGAGCATTGGGTAGAGTACTGGTATTCACTGATCGATCGAAGCGGCGTGATTCCATGACATTCGAATTAGACATATTACATTTTCTTTGGGGGACGGCGATATGAAGTAAATGTGCCATTGGAAGCCCCCGAGGTTCATGCAAAGTCCAGATACCGCTACAGGTACAATTTAACAATGCTGTTTGAAGCTACTCAGCCCAGAAAAATGAAGGAATTTGGCGCCCGTCCCTAATCCTTCCAATCGTTCAAACAACCAAGAAATTCTATACGCTGTATACCATATGCTGTACGTCTTGACACAATACGAGTAACACCTTTTATTGCCAAGGTGCCGCCCATCCAGAAGCAGATGGCACGCCACCAGTCGCGAGGCCATTTCCATTACTGTAGTTAAACTAAGGTAGCCATAACCCAAGGGTCACCTTCCGAGGCCATCCATACGTCTTGAACGACAGGTAAAAGAATAGTAGAAGGGCTGAAGATATTCCAATTACCGTCCGGTGACGTCGGGAGATCAGACCCAGCTGTAAATCCTTCTTGCAGCATAGGCTCTAGTTTTAGACGACTTTCTTCAACGTCATCTTCGAAGAGGGCTTCGACTTCTCTCTTTCTCTGACATTCTTCGTGAACGTCGAGTGATAGGCTTTCACATTGAATGTAAAAGGAAGGTAAAATGATAGGAGCCTGTCAAATATTAGTCAAGGGTGTTTCAGAGGTAGGAAAAAAGCTCACTCTCAAGATTATGGCAGCTTGATAAATGCCCATGTTCTCCGCGATATACTTGAGCCGTCCTCTTAAGAATATCCGCTCTGATGGCATCGCAAAATCAGATACTGCTGCTGCAAACATAGGCCACATCACGAAGATGCCCCACAGAGACTTGACTTGAACGGCATCGGGAGTTCCACAAGCAAAACAAGAAGGATCCCGCATCGCTGTAACAGTTTCCTTATTCCATCCAAAAATGAAAGGAACACTAGCAACAATATCCTCGATCAGTCGATGGCACACTTGAGAACCTGTCGCATATTCCTCCGTAAGCTTGTAATTGTCCTCACCACATAGCCAAGCGACACATCGGAAAATGGTCGTCCAAATGAAGAGCCGTGAAGAACGACCGATGTTATGATGGTATGCCATATACATTTGAGAATATGAATCGATCTTCCCTGGATGAACAACTGAATTTGCGAGGTCAATTTCATGGTGATCCATCCAAGAGACTGTTCTAAATGCCCATTCTCCGGTCAGACCTGCGAACCATTCAGCATACTCTTTCTCCAGATCTTGCGCTCTTTTGAGGAGCGCTATTACGTCCCCAGCGTCCTCTCGAGATCTATTGGATGTTATCCTATCGTTGTCGGCTCGTAATTTGGCAACCCTGATGTTGAGGCTAGCGAATTGGTGCGATATTGGGTCGTTCGCAGGGACTGACATCCACCACTCCTCGCCATCCGCGACTTCTCTGGAATCGGCAATATGCTGGATCGTCTGTTTCATCTTTACATCAGGATCTTAGTCTTATGAGTGGTTGGAAATAGTCACCATCATAGCCCTCACGGTGTTCCAAATTTCTCGGCCCTGTTGAGTTTGAAAGGAGTCAGGACCTCGGGATTTTAGTAGTGCTGCGGCTCCATCGACGTGGGAACTCCATGCCTTATGGCTCCTTCGCGGCGCTATCAATTGCTATGATTCTTAGCTACATGAGAAGCTTCATGAGATCAACGGGCATTACTTCGAAGAAAGTGAGGAGTAAGACTGCAACTATAGTAGAGTCCGATAAAGCTATTTTTGGATCTGTCAAAGAGGTTTTTATCATTTGTAGTGCGTTACAGTACGATCGCTGATCAGAATAACAATCAGCTTTGATCCATTTTTGAAGACGCATACTTTAGAGTGGAACACAGTGATCTCGACTAACATTCGCAGAAGGCAGTATAGCTCCGGAATCTGGTCTAGTACCGAAGGCCGCAAGCGAGACAGCCGAGAATGCAGCGTGAACAGCAGAGTTGGGCCGTTCGGTATTCAAAATTGGGAGTAAGAACTCCAAATGGCCTCGGCGGCTGCCCTGTCCTGGAAGCAATACAAAGTTCGAAAGAAAGTAGCATGCAGCTTTTTGGTCCGCTGGAGTACTAAGATACGCAGTAATGCAACCCGAATGTCGTCCTCGCTGCGAGAAACTTATGGGTGAAGTCGAAGCTGAGCTACTCATGCTGCTTATACTATTTGTAGAGCCCCTTGCTCGTTTTGTATATTTCCAGGTTGAATTGGGGGTTGTAGGATTCGATGCGGCTGCGGTTATCGGAACTTGGTTTGAAAATCCATCTTCTCCATGATAGTTTCCACTTCGTAGAATTTGATTTTGATCAGGACCGACGAAAGGAGGCCGACTGTTTACTCGAAATGATTCGTTCTTCGTCAATTTCGTTTCATCCCGTGAGCTGCTCTCAGGCATTTCTCTATAGCCAGGACATGTTCGCTTCGATTTCAAGCAACGATTACAGCTTGGCCGTCCTTCATCGCACTGTACAGCATTAGTGGCCACTTGAGTTCTCACGTAGTGATGATAAATGCCAAGGGGTTCTTTTCTGTAAGTCAACCATACCTTAATTCGTCTGGCTCTACACATGTAGCAACCCCTCGAGGGCTTGCCAGTGTTGACCATCCTAGTGATGGTTTATGCATGTGATAGATAGTGGAGAAGATGAAAGGTATCGAAAATCAGCGGGGTAGAATCACCACGACGGTGTTTCTCGCATATATGGCTTGGCAGAACCAAGATACAAGCTTTTTTTACGAAAGGAAAGCAATCTGATTGCTGACGTCTGCCCCTCAGCATCCAGAGCGCCGAAGGACATTATTTGTGGAAGAAGCTCTGTTGAGCCTCGACTTCTAGAAGCTGGGGTCACCCCTCTATACCAAGACACCGTGCTAGCTGAGATCGAAAATTACGGGGATTTTGGCACGATTGGACACTCAAAAAACCCGTCATAACCGAGTCAGAGCCATGAAACCATAAACAGAGCAGGGAGTGCATACCCTCCTGTATAATGCGTCCACTACTGAATTTGAAGAAGGAATGAAACGAAAGTCAAATGCAGTTGCTCGCTTATATACTGTATAGGCACTTGTCGCAATCTTCTCTATGGCCAAGCAGACAACGGTATTTTCAAGGCGGTCATGAAGTAGATAGCTTTGGGCCGGGGGAATTCGAAGAGCAAAAGACAGCGAGGGTAATTATTGGTATTCTCGTCCTCTCGACATTGAGCAGTGCAGGCACTAGATGCCTTCTAGCACTTACAGAGAGCTCTCCAAATTCAATGTGTTCATTGCCTGATGTGCTTTCCGGGTCCTGTCAAATTTATGTCTAAAAATACCAGTTTTCCAGAAGTATGCGGAAGATTTGATTACCACTAAGACAGTTCAACCTTCGAAAGTTGGGTCGAACTCTTCATTGTCATATTTTTGATCACCGCTACCGGTAGATCTCCTGCATCTAGAGGGGCATTAACTTTCTTATGGGACTTGAAGTAAGCTCAGGGTTCAGGCAACCAAAAGTCTTGATACTGTGACCACAGCTTCATTCAGATGAGGAAAATTTCGAAAGTTATGAAGCAAAACAATATGTTCGTGTTCGTGTTCGTTCTCGTACAGTATGTATGCCGTTAGCGTAGCTTCCCCCCTTGCCTACTCGAGTGTACACCGCGTCATACCTCCAAATTTAATCAGAGTGAGGCTTGTTTCATGGTACTGGCGTTGGTTGTGTTCGGATGTCTCCTTGATCCAATCGCGGTTAAGGCGAAGTTCGAAGTCTGGACGAAACTCAAGGACTAGATCCTATACTAACCTTTTCACAGTACACCACACATCCACAACATCTTTAATTAATGAGTAGGTATTGAGTAGGAACGAAGAGATTCCGAAAGGAGAGAATAATAATGTTCAGAACGTTGGCATAAACATTGTGATGAGGAAGAACTCGAAAAGAGCTAGGACAAACTACTACTGCACAAACGAAACGAGCTCGGGAAGTACAGTAGTGTACACTAGGCGATTGTTGGCCAATCATAAACTTGGGAGGTATAGTACTGTACAGTACCTTCAAGCCGAGCGTCAGAAAAAGTTTAAATGGCCACATTTTCAGAAACCTAGCTCTGATATATAAAAGGTTAATTCCCCAGATAATCCGGTTTTCTGGTTGGGATTTTCTATAAACAGAGGGCCGTGGCCCTGTGCAAAACACCCTACTACTTCATCTGAAAAGTACACTTTTTCCGGAAACGAGCTTGAAGGTACTGTAAACATGACCTATTCTCCATAGGGCTTGCTATCTAGCTGAAAGTGAGTTTATATGACTCTTCCATTGTCCTTGGGAGAAACGTGACTTCACGTGACAGTGCGTGAATTGCTGGTGCTGATGTACCACCCGCCTCAGGCTTCGAACCTCTTCGAAAACGGAAAGAAGAATATTTTCACCAAGAATTATAGTTCCCATTATTATCAGTGTTCACTCGAATGCCCCGATCTTGAAGCACGAGATTAGGTTGTGGAAGGAACAACATTGGTCTCGACTGGTGATCCAGCTCTTCTCGATGTTTACTTTGACTTTTCTCCACTTCAAGCTGCTTTTGAAACCTCAAGATTATCACTTTCAAGGGCTCAACCAGATAGTTCATCGAAAACTCCTACCAAAAACATTTAATCGTCATGCAGCTATATCACAATCCCAACCTTGGCTGCCCATTTTTGGGGTGGGACGATATCGATAGAAAGCTGAAAGTCACGAGGATACAATAGAAGGAGTTTCTTTTAGCAAGCCACCTTGTTACGTGATGTTCAGATAGAAGGATATGAGCAGCTGAAATGGGGTTTCCTGACCTCCGACAGGAGTCGGCGGACGCAGCGGACCTCATTACGGAGCTCCTAAGCGGATCCCCAACCAACACACCACAAGTTATATATCTCCTCTTTTCCGACGACTGAAATCTCAAGTCCAGTTACTTTACCATACCAAGTCCCTCTAACATCATGCCTTCCTTCACAGTTACATTCGACGACCAATCGGCTAAGGCCAAGTCGGTCTCTTTCGAAGGTATTTCAGATATTCATATGAAATATTCACGACTAACCTTTAAAATCAGACTACCTTGAGCTCACAGCTCTCATGTTTGACTGGGGTGACAGCTACGACGCCAAAGACTGGACTCGTCTCCGCAGCATCATCGCACCAACTCTTCTCGTTGACTACACCGACATTGGCAAGCCAAAATGGCCAGCGATGTCCTCTGAAGACTTCATGACCATGATTACCGACGATGGATTCCTCGGTGACCCTTGCGTCAAGACTCAACATCTCCTGGGTGCCACAAGATGGGTCAAGGTCTCCGACACCGAAGTTATTGGCCACCACCAACTTCGAGCTGCTCACCAGGTCTACGAGGATGCCTCTTTGACAAAAGTCAAGCTTAGAGGACACAGCCATGCCACCAACGAGCACTACTACAGAAAGGTTGACGGCATGTGGAAATTTGCTGGTTTGAAGCCAAAGGTCAGATGGAATGAGCATCAGTTTGAGAAGGTCTTCAAGGGAAGTTACACTGAGGACCAGAAAAAGCAGGCAAAGGCATAAGCGATTCATTGCTTCAATCGGATCAGCTCTTTCGCAAGAGGTAGTGGAGAATATACCTAGTAGTCATGTCAGATCACACTTGCTCCTTCCAATTCAATTGACCTTGTCCCTCGGTTTTGATATTTTCCTGTGAATTGTGGAATTTATTTTTGGTTGTTTAAAATAAGTCAACTTTGTCCCACGAGCACCATGAAAACTCTAATCCCACGGCTCCTTTGGCCCAAGCTCTATTTTCAGGTTGTTAGATTTCACTCAGAGTTGTGCATGTGATTCATGGACAATCCCCAAGCGTTCTCCGATTAATGTGGTTGAAGACCTTAAAAGACTAATCCAAATGACCAAATGACTCAAGCACAAAAGAAAAATATTTTGAGACCCTCCTTCCCGCCAAATCCGAAACAAAAGTAAAGTCTTCTAATCTCAAAACACCCAGAACTAGCAACGCTGGCTTTGGCTACGGATTGAGCAACACCTACATAAAGCTATTCTCCAGGTGGACAAGAAAGGCTGCAGAGAGTCTTTGTCTTTCTACAGGCGCCCGAGTAAACTGGAATGATTACCAAATCCACCAAGTTGCCCTAAAAATAATTATCTTCGACCTCCTTGCCCACCAGGAATGACTTTGTTTTTTTGGTAATGGCTCATGAGAATACTGTTTTGAAAGCAGAACAAAGTTTCGTCAATTTTTATCTATTCTAGTACTAGTAGCAATGTCAATGCAGAGCTGCGATTCACAACTCGATGGAGTTCACCACGAGCAATCATGGCTGAGACATCTATCTAGGAGAGAATGACTCGCTTGGGTGACTTCAATTTTGTTCCATGTACACAGAGTTTTCTTTCACGAAACTATACTCATTGTCTCATCTATAAAGAAGAAATGCTTGTATTTGATTGTTTTGAGAATGTATCAATAGCTTGAGAATTGGTCATCAAAGATGAAGTATCGTCTACAGAGCAAGGAATTTCCTCAACAAGTCTGAAACTCAGGAACGCATTTCTTATTACTGGCGAACCTAACTTTGGCTTGATAATTGTTCAGTTCTATACGCTAAGGAGTCTTACTCGACTAATTTTTCAAGATCTCCTCTTGTTGTTTGTTCCAACTGGTCATTGTTAACAGAGTCGGTATTCTCGGTGAACCAGATGTACTCAACTCAAAACTGCTCGAAATGGAATCATAGAAGCTAAAATAGTATTATAGCTCATTTGTGACCTTCTCGTGTTTTTGGGCAGGGCTTCTGGGTCTTTGACAGCTCTTGAAAAGTGAATTAAAAAGGGTAAACGTATATAGCTGCATAATTATTTCAGACTTCCATGTCTCAACCTACCCAATCTACTGCCGAGAAGCGAGAAATTTATTGACCTTGTCGAGAAAAACTGGACCAAGGAATGACCGAGAATTCGAGTTCTTGTTCTAATAAGCATTTGCGCAGAGATTCTGCCATCGATAAGGGTCAGAGATGCCAATGTTTCTCTACGTACACAAAAGCAAACTCTAAATTATACCAAAGCCCTTCGGAAAGTGATTTAAGATTACTTGAAATGTTCAAGGTTGTCAAATCTTGTGTAGCAGGTAAATCGACTCCCCTCCCCTCGCCCAATTTCATTAGACTTGCCATACCCTTAATTTAGCAGGAAACAGGAGAATGCGCATTAGCCTCCGTGTCGAGTAGATAAGGGTACTTATACATAGTTCTATAGTTCCTTCTACGAGAATTTTTCTTCTTATATTCTTACAAAAAATCTAATAATCAAGATTCCGCTCAAATGCAACTACAGTTCCTATTTAGGCGAGTAGAGCAGTAAATCTTTTCCTACTCGCGTGTATACTACAAACCTAAATTTCAAGCTAAGTTCACAGCATATATGCGGAGAAAGAAGATCCTTCTCCCTCCTACCAGCTAGAAAACCAAGTACGAAATGTATTCACTACTAAGTTGAGGGTAGTGAATTTCAAATGACATTAGGCGAAGTAAGGTGGGGGTGAGGGGGAAGAGGAGTCGATTTATCGATTGCCCAAATCTTGGAGGAATTACCCTACTTAGATAGAACAAATGAATGGATTATTCCAGAACCTCTCACACAATATGACCTTGAGGTTTATGCAGGTCGATACCCATATCTCTAAGTAAATGTTCGAACAGTTTTTGGCAGTCAAATTTGGGTTTTATCAGCTGATCTCCTACAAAACTTCAGATATACGTCATTTCTAGCCTCCCCTCCCATACACAAAGATTTTTCAAGCTGTGCGAGGATGGCCAATTTCTTAAAACTTGATCTTTAAGCTGGCTCTTGGGTTTTTTGAAGACAGTGGAATTGAGTTTTCTTCTGTCAATAGGTTTACAAATGTACATGCGGTGCCGTGTATGGACTTTCATCCTGCTGTTTTAGGATTGGAATTTGTCCTGAAAACGCCATTCGGCATTTCTCAATATACATGTAATGGTCAAATATGATTCAATAATACTATCTGCCTGTTTTTATGTGGTATATATATGCCACGTAGTGTCTGAGACTGGTCGCCCGCTGCCCGCTGTCATTTCTACCCCTCTCCTCCCCTTTTCCTCGCTTAACGGCCACACAAAGTTTAACCCGCGACAGTAAACAGATGAGTATATCTTATGGTTGAAAGCAACTAGAAAACAAGTTATATATAGTCAAGTTGAAAAAGAGAAATACAATGTCCCATCAAATTGATTTTGAAGACTATCCTTCAGTCACTTTGCTTTATACCGCTAAATTTCTCATATGTTCAACATCAACAAAGCCATACTCCGCCTTTTTGGAATGGACTGGAGGCGCAAAACACCCCGCAATCCCACGAGCCGAACTGGAATACGATAACGCCTTTCGGCATCCGATCAAAATCGTCCTCGCAAATATCTTCCGCAAGTATTGCTCGTACCCATCAGCCGAAATGCTATATATTTTGTATGACATAGGGCATCAGAAGAAATTTCAGAACCATCTACCCCATCTACCCCTCAGACGGAAAAGGTGTGGCAATCTTCTGATCTGCTGACAGGCTGCAAAAGTTGGGATATCTCTTAGAAACGAGGTAACTTCCTTCTTCCGGTCTGGGGCAATGTGAGAACGGCATGTTCCTTTGCAACACATTCATCTACATCTGAACCCTTGGCAGTCCTGCAGGGATTGCTGCATGTACCACTACAACCGAGCACCTGGAGAGTTGGTTCACAAGAATTCCCAGAATGGGAACACCTAACCATACTGACCATACTAACCATAAAGAGACGAATTGCAACTCTGTGATAAATCGTAGTTGAAGTCGATGATCTTACGCAGGCAATTACAAAAATGATCACCTAGAAATTGGTGTGGCGGTCACATCAAGCCTCAGCAAGGGGGAGTTTGAAGGCACCTGGAAGGTTTGATAGTCAGCTGACTTAGTGGTGACCATTCGCTTCCAGAGGGATGTCTCGCAACTCCACTTCACCTCCAACCTAGCTTGGACCGAGATATTTGATACGACGCGAGTGCACCCGAGTGATCCGCACAGCAACATGAGCTGTGCATACTGAATACAGAAGTCGAGTTCAAACAAGCAATGGAATTTGAGAAAATGCAATGTTACCCTACCAGCACAGCTAGGAACAAATGGACGAACCGCGACCAGGGAGCCAACGACAATTTGAAGGTATTCTCAAGTTTAACTGGGGCCAATTGAATCATAATCTCGAACTCCCACGAAAGCGCGACTCCATGGCAAGCCCGCCCCAGGAAGCCTACGAGTGCGGCGAAGTCATCGGCACTCGTACAACCTTTGATCGGGCCCAACCCCCAGAATCATTCAACCACCGTGATCTCCTCCCGTATGCTTCCGAAGTAACTTTGTCGTCGAAACAAAACAAAAGAAGGAGAGGTGGGAGAATGGAGATGGATTCGCGTCGGCCCAAAGAAAAAGCAAAAAAACTGGAGCAGAACATCCTAACAAGTTCTGAATCAAACGTCCTGGCGAGCCGTTGACCGTTCATGATCCTGCCACAAGTAGGGCAATAATAGCCACCAAATATGACCATGAAGGCAAGGAAAGAGCCGAACTCTCGCCCCTTTTCCCCGGAGCGTTGCACTGCACTTCTGGTGTCCGTCCAACGCCTCTGCTCACGACGATCCTTCTCGCAGCCATGGCTTGCGCCAAAAACCAGATTTGTTGCATATTTGTGCATTCTGATTTTCCCTGAAAATACCTTTTTTGCTTTGTCTGGCGTCTGTTATGGCGGGGCCCACGCATCATGTCTTTTCGGTGTCCTTTTTTGGCCCATTGAACAGGTGCGCGAGTGGCCGAGACCCGTTGAACAGGAAGACTGAAACAAGGGTACGAGAATCCCGGGGAAGGTGTATATGTCAATCCGGTATATAGCCTCATTTTGTACTGCACTGCTCAACTAGACTGCGTGCAATTCCCCAAATAACGCTTGTTTGGATACAAACAACTTGATATCAATGGCTACGTACGTATGGTGTAGTTACACATGTACACAGGTACGGTGTACTTGTACAGTACGGCTACAATGTCAACGTCAGTATTCTTTCTCGCGTTCCATTTCCATGCGGTTCATGCAGCAGAGTCAGACATGCAAGATGCTGCAGTCTCTGGTTTCCAGATGCTGCAGCTCTCTGTAACACCCAAGAGACCGACCTCTGGGAACGATTCGGTTGCAATGATCCGCGGACACACGCACAGCGCGACCAGGTGCGGTCATAGAAGTAATCGGCGTATTGCACCTCTACAGGCCACAATACAAAAGCAACGCCGGTCCACCCGACATGCTCTATCACCTGTCATATTTGGCGGAAAAAAACGATGGCATTTCAAACAAATCGCAAAGCTAAGTAAGCTGGTGCCTGCAAGTTTATATGGGGCCGCCTTGACGCGGTTGTCATGCTACAGGTTGAGGGAGCCGTTATGCCCAAAGTGAGGGGTCTACAAGAATAATGAATTCAGTGCAGCATGCAATTTTCTAATGAAGCATTTCAAAATGACGATTGGAAATCTTGAACAATTTTTTTTTTTGGCAGGTGGTAGACGGAAACAGGGAAGAAGGACATCACCGTATTGTCCAGGACCCGGTATCGAGTGATAGGGTTACATGCGCGGAATTTGTTTTATTTCGTTCCTGTACGGTAGGCTATCCCATGTAGAAGTATAAGACCGGGCCACTGGAAGACAGGGTTGAAAAACTACTTACGGGGTTTGAATTATTTTCTAAAAAGAAATGAAAATAAAACTCTGTAGTCTTCAACAGGGCTGTAGTGCCTAGAGATTAAATTTTTAGACGTTCGTTGATTTTAGGGCTAGCCGTTTGATTTATTTACTCATATCCTTACACTTTTTCTCTTGGCCAGACAGATAGTGGCTTCTAGGCTCTGGAGATCATTTTACTTTATGGAAAGAATGGCCGTTGACGGTGGTACTCCTGTCAAGCTTGAGTATCAAGGACTATTTTGACAGTTGTCATTGAACTTTCTTGATAGCAACATGACCCGGGTTTCGAAACACAGATCTGTTGAAATAATTCTTCATGACAACATCAACCTTTAGGCGCACCCAAGTTATGCATACTCTACGAGTATTCAGCACAGAATAGGATGAAAGAAAATCATAATGACAGCGAGGTTCATGGCCTGAGCAGATGCCGAAATCCCAGTCATCGGAACAGGGGAATACAAACCCGACGGGATCGGGAGCTTTCCAAGCGGGCTTGGTGGATGGATCGTCGGTGTTCGTTGAGTTTTGTTACATGTTAGAGAAGGGATTCTAAATACAATACCCACTCATTGGTGAAGCTGGGTTTGGGGAGTATTCCGACACTGGATACCACAAAACTCGTCATATTTCCGAAGTACTGCTGTCACTTTGCGCTCATGTTGATCACAACTCCTTTATGGTTGTATCCCCAAGCCCACGAAAAGTTAAGGTTACACCGCTCCACTGGAACGTCTCACCCAGGCTCTCATGGGTTTTACTTTACCAGGCTGGTTACACACCTTGTGGGCCTCAAGCAATGGGACATCCTCAGCGCTTCCGCATCAGCCATTTCGTCATAACGTCTGCAAGATCAAAAGACCCAGTCGAAGAGCCTCTAATTGTACTTCGGCAAAAGCCGTGTCTGGACGGTGGAGTTCAAAATGAATGGGAGAAAATAAATGCAAAAGTTAATACTTCGTACTTCTAGTAGATGCGGATGCAGACCACCAGACAGTTTTTCGAAGGTTCCGCATCCTCTTGGTTTGTACACAGAAACGTTCCGTTTATTCAATTAAGCCCTTCAATAAAATCTACCCTTGGATAATGGGGCTATGTCAAAGAGAGTAAAAGAAGTGATGGATACTTGGGAAATGGCTTTGCCACACTGAACTATTCCAGTAGAAGGGCTTAAAAAGATATCAATTATGAATGGAAAATCTTGCAGGCTTGTGATATTACAGTCTTGTTTGCTGGGGCTTATAGTATTGGCCTGTTATTCCTTCATTCGTAATAGATATTAAAAAACTCAACAGTTTCATTACTAGACTGCGGCTGTTATAGTGCAAATTAGCGGAGGAGCTGAGAATGTCTTTTTTGCTTAAAATGGCTACAAGTTCCTACTGTGCCTTAGATTGAGAAGCTAAAGGTACTATGTATGTCCTAGGTTTATCTTTGAACAATTTGCTTCATCTGCTTCCACACAAAAAACCATGCCAGCTCTAGACGAAGGAGGTTTGCCATCACGTGTTCTGCGAGAATCCTCATGAGACTCAATTCTTTAGTTCAATACGAAAATAGCGCAACTAATAGTTACCTTCGATAATTTGATTTTTCCAAGAACGTTTTGCGGACAAAATGAGCTGATATTTGTCACGGGAGGTTGAACTATGTTGTGTATTACTAGCACGCCCAATTCAACAGCACCAATGCATGCAATGGATCTAATATCAGGGCAATGTTGATTTTCAGCTTGAATCCCAAGGTACCACACCCTTGCTTGAAAAGATGGTATCATTCAAATCGCCACAATCGAACGAGTGAGGCTTCTTGCCGGAAAGCTCAGCTGTCAAGCTCGTCAATTCTAATTTATTGCTAATTTCCTTGAATATTTTCCAGCTGATCTCATGAGACTACATCTTGGAAATGCTGAACAAAATCACGTACTCGTAATTTCATCGTGGTCATAAGCCAAGAAGCTAGAACTTGGTTCATTCTAGCCGGCGTCGAATTATAGGCGTAAACTTAATTTCCCACGAGAATGTAACTTACTTGGTAGGTTCAGTTAGCCTCGATCTGGTTATCGGGTGGACCAATGCATGGTATTGATTTAGCGAGAGGCTCAATGATAAGCTCTTCGTGGGATCACGAGTTACATTGTGGAAGACTAGCATTGAACTTACTGCAGGTTTGGCGGATATCGTAAACAAAAGTCCAGATTCGAGGGGTTCTCATGAGTCGGTAGTTATCTACACCAGGAATCCTTACAATGTACTGAGGACCCTTCCTGGAATTGGTTGCGCTGCATTGCATCGTAGCGGGTCATCATGGTTGGAGGGTAATCCAAGGACGCAGACTCCAGGATGAGATACTCGGAAAGAAAATGACTTCCTCCACGCGAGGTACACGGTACACTACAAGATTGTTTCGTCGGCAGCTAGAGGTAGCTGAGCAATTCGGCAAGCCATGCCTCAGTTACCCTTACATCTCGTTAGAGTGTATTTTAATACAGTACGATAGGAAATGTTGCCGTCCCGCTGCAGTATACACATGCATACCCTGCCTCTAAGCTAGCTCTAAATGCCAATACTACAATTCGTATCCACGGTTACGTATACCTACTAGTACAGTACGTACAGTCATGCATGATGATTTAGAGCTGTTTCTAGGCCTCTCGGGGAGTTATGAGAAATTACCCGGTTGCACACTAGAGCAAGTAGACTTTCGCGAATTACCAACAGGTTTCCGGGGGAATTTGTACTGTCTCGAACGTTGAAGGCGAAGGAGGACGGGTGAGTCGTTCGATATACTTCTCGCAAGCCTTTCTTTTCTCGGTCAAGATTCGGAGAATAAAATGTTCAGCAGTAATTCAATTTTCCGACGCTCCCGCAACTATTTCATTAATATTCTCGTCAATAGTAGTTAGAGGTTCGCCTCTCCCCGCGGGTGATCGCCACTCAGTGCGTCCGACTTCTCGGTAAGCACGTGTTGGTACAAGGTTTTATATTACCCTTCAGTTTAGAATCAGCGTTTGGGGTTCCTCTTCGTATCCAGCCTTTCCCTGGGGTCATAAATGCAGTAAAACGGACCAGGAACCCTTTCTAGATACGACGAGATGGATACCGGTATGGCTCTGAAATGGTGGGGTAGACTAAGTTGAAAAATCTTAGCATAGCTAGTTCTTCGACAACGTGGGAATTCTCGCTAAGGGCAAACTGCGCTAGCTTGCCCTTGGGGCTTCTCCATGCAGTAGCTGAATTCAAAGCAAGAAATTAGACAGTTCGGACAACCGGGTTTGGCAAAGATGATGAGGGACCAAGAATTAGCTCTTTTGTTCCCTTCCCGTCCATCTTTGAGCGGTGGCGTCATAGAGTTTGTCTATAGTCTGTGCGTAATAAGAGGGTCTAGGGAGAACGACGCGCTGAAGAGGTTTCAGTAATAGACACTTTGCTAGGTTTTAGGGTCTGGAGTATTTTTTGCTAGAAATAGTTACGGCTGCTTTGATATTTTTCCGATGGATTAAACTATTGATCTGTCTGCACTTATTTTGAAATTTCGGCACCAAGATTCCGTTACAAGTGGGCATTCCGAGATGAAAAGGCAAATTTCTTCTGCCACTGACTGTCTGCACACGAAAGTTTCTCTGCCGAGCATACTGAAGCCTCTGTAAGCATGCGAAGTTTCATTTCATAGGAAGCTAGGCGTACCGCGTTCGATGGATTCTGTGCCGAGAACCCGGAAACTGAAGCTAAGTATGATAGTATATCACCTTTGTTTGGTA